AACTTTTCAGTATTCTGTGCTTCCTACTGAACTAATTCCACCCTTTGCAACTCAGAACTGACAACACTGACATAGCTTGCAGTTCCCTAGCATGCATCATAATGGTTGCATAGAGTTGGCACACAAGGCTATGCATTGAACCTGGCTTTGAGTCGGTAGACAGGCAAGTGAGTGAAACCCTGGCTCTGGAATTACGGGATAGCTATCAGAGCAGAGTTGAAAATCATGCTAGGAGAGACTGAAAAAGCTTCTACCTGCTTCATCTGGAAGAGATGAAGAGATAGTCTGGTTTCAGAAATTGATGCTTTGGTAATCTCTAACATAGATTACTACAATGTGGTCTGCATGGGATTTCCTTGAAGGCTTTGCTGCAGCTTGTGCAAAATGGAGCAGCCAGTCCAGTAATCAAGACAAGAAGGTCCAAACATGAAACTCCAATTCTGGCCAACTTGTATTGGCTACCTATATGTTTCCAAACCTGATTTAAAGTACTCATTCTAAGCTATAAAGCCCTACATGGCTTGGGAGTGCAATATATTATGGAACTCCCTTTCCAGCTGCAATCTTCCTTGACAGTATGATCAAGATCTGAATCCTACCTCTGATTGCCACTTCTGAGGGAAGCTTACTAGGTGACAACAAGGAGGATAAGTGTCTCAGTGGCAGCCCCCAGTCTGTGGAACAAGTTTCCCACTTAGATCCACCTGGTGCCAACTCTGCTATCTTTCTAGTGCCAGGTTAAGGCTGTCCTCTATGAGAAGGTGTTTAATCAGCTCTTGATAGTATGTTGAAGCATTGTGTCAGCTGTCTAACAGGCTTTGTGACTTAATTTGTGTTAGCTATGGTAGCAGCTTAAATTCGTCTTGAAATTTGACTTTGAAATTTCGTAGCATAATTTGTATAGTGTTTTATTAAGTTAGACGTGAAGGGACAAGAGCTTGATCTATCAGGGGCTGGAGCTATGATGGGTTAAAACAAAGAAAACAATAGTTGGGCTCGGACAATAGAACAGAAAATGCAAGGAAGTTACTTGCCTCTTGATTTGTTTTTCATCTAACATTCTATACAGAGTAGCATAGCCAATATTTAAAACAAAAGTAGAGTAGCATAGCCGATATTTAAAACAAAAGTACATAGAGTAGCATAGCCAATATTTATAACAAATTAAGGATATTCAGATCTGGCTGAAGTTAAAGACACTTCAAGATTGGAACATTTTTCATGCTGGATTTTTTTTCCTTTCACATCAGGAGATAGTTTTCTTTAAATCAAACTTTTTGATTTTTTCTCTACCCCAGTAAAATCTCTCAAAATTCTGAAGAACTGAGTTATTTGTGCAGTTGTGTATACATGTTTATATTTTGAATTAGATTAGCACATGCCTATAATGGTATTTATCTGGTGCTACACATTTTGATAGAGGTAAAAAAAATCACTTCCAAAGCTAAGCCCTACAGAGGTCTAACGATACACTGATTCAGAAGTTTTCTGACAAAGATTACTTTTATCCAATTAAACTTGTACAAGTAGCATGTTCTATCCCAAGGGCCTGGGACGCACAAGATTTTCGGCAGCATATAAATCTGTTCAAATACTTCCCTTAAATGCAGTAAACGCCAGCAAATGTTAATCCTCTGGCAACTTCACATGAACTCCTGGAAGCTTGCTAGACACTTTAGAAAAAGGAAAGTTTTTGCTATAGGAAATTCCATCTGAAATAGTACCTTTACATTCTCAATGGTAAGTTGTTCTAATTATGGAGGAAGGGTTGCCATATTAAATTTAGCATTTATATGTCTGTGCTTCAACCATGTTGTACTTTTAAAATCCCATTTCATGCTAGGTTTTATTGAAATATGAGGCTTGTAGGACTGATGATTTAGAAATAGGTGTGAAATTGGCTTCAAAATGATCTTCTTGGATGCCAGCACCTAGAAATGACATGCTGATGTAAGCAGTGTGGTGCTTTCCCATCCTTCCCCTCCTTCTAACTCCCCCAGAGGCCCATCTTACAGCTCCACATTAAGACTTAGCAAGGTTTTTTTTTTTTTTTTTCATATGCCAGACCTTGGCATTCTTCTGTTTCAGCTAAGAAGACCTCACCCACCTGTCGCAAGTGTATTTTTGTCAAAACATCATAACAATGGAATTAATGTTTTTCTTTGCTTTCCTAGAACTAACTCTAGATACCTTAGGTATGTTTGGAGATAGCATTGTTTTTAGTTGCAACCGAAATGCTTTGCTAGTCCTCCATGAAACAGACAGTAGTTTGTTACTGTTGGATCAAGTTACCAAAAAGATGGTTTTGCTCTTCTGATATCATGGCACTTTCTTTAGACTGAAGAAAAATGCAAATTATTCCCTGTTTTTTTAAAAAATCCTGAATGGTTTCCAAGTTTTTGTACTACCTTATGACAATATTCTAATGGCAGGAAGAAGGCATTCTAAATTGTACCTGTTTAGAATGTATTCTGAAATAATTCAGTTTCATATATATGATGTTAGCACCTCCAGGTTTATACTGTTATATAAAATGTAATATGTATGATAGTAATTAACCCTTAGTGATAGGGTTTGTATGTCATTGCTGCCTCAGCTCTTTGCCCACTAACCTTTCCTGCCCACTGTCTTCCAGCTAGCAACACATAGCTCCTCTTGTTTCTGGGTCCTGTGAAAAATCATCTAAACTGACCTTTCACTTCTGTCATATAAATTACATTGCCTGCCAGTATTATGCTATTTCTTCCTGAGCTGTCAGAATGTTTTGAGCATATAATTACATCAAAACTGTTCAACTGGTAGTAAGGATTTGCAGGCAGATGACAGACAACATTCAGTTTTTAATTTGTTATATAAAATTGCAGTCCAACTTTTTAAAAAATCAGCATCATTTGTTTTACATAGACATTTATGTGTTGAATAATATCTAGGAACTACTTATGTGTTGAATAATACTATGCCAGGTTAATAGATCCTGTTTCTTCTATATGATGTTTTGAGAAAGATATGTTGAGTCAATAAAATCTATATTAGATGGTTTAGAAATAAAAATAAATAATGGTTATGAAATCTGAAGAGATCATTTTATTCATCATCAAATTTTATATAGCAGAATAACATGATTGCCTAATGCCAAGTTAAAAAGAGAACTGAATGGTGGTAAGGGAGACCTCTGTCAATACATCCATAGTAGATCTGTGTTAAATAAGGAAGTCCCAATGTTGAAGGCTTCTGAAAATCATATGGCCTGCTGTCTGCTGTAGGCATGGAGGAAAAAACAATGCACTTTATTTTTTCTTCTTGTTCCTTCTCTAAAAGAACACGCCCAGCTAAATGCAACTGTAAGTGTTTCTACCTCATGTGGGGAAAAGAGAGAGGCAATGGAGGGACCATAGGATTCCAAGCCTGCTAGCTTTCCTGCCCATCAAAACACCCCCTTTGGAACCTTTGAGAGATCATCCAAGTTCACATCTGTGACCTTGGAAAGCATCCACAGTGTCTGCAAAAGGAAGGGGGTGTGGGAAGACTCTGTTCTTCATTGTGGTCTCCCTGCATCACACATATGGGTGCTGTGCCTGCATAGTATCCATAATGTGTGAATGCACGGATGACCACTTGAAGAATGACAGTAACAGGTAAGCAACCTGCCTCTGTCAGATTGCCACTGCTGAGCTTGTAGCAGTCAAATATCCTGTGATCCCCGAGACACTCTCCAAAGACTATAGGATTACACCCTAAGTTCATTGATATTTAAAAGTTCACAGATGTTGAAGCATTAAGTATTTAAGTAATTAACTAATGAGCATCTTTTATCAAAACATAACAGTTGACTTCTAAAACAGAATAGTAAATGTGAACCAAATTAAAGATTTTATGAAAAGAAAGAAAATATCCCTGTGGAAATCTGGGAAAACGTGTGGAATAGGCTCATATATCTTTTCTGAACATGGCAGTAAGGGACAACTGTTATAATATAAAGACAAAATAATACATTAAACTAAATCTTATAAGATAAATAATAATTATCCTTCTATTTGTTGGAAATTACAAGAAATGAAAAGTGATTTCTATCATATATGATGGGAATGTCATTGAGGTACTGGGGGGAAAATTAATGACAAAAAGTATGATATAAAATCTCATTTAATCCAATTTTCATTGTTGTTGTTAAATTATATGGGTGGTTTGGGTCACTAGGAATGTAGAGATCCAGTTTCTTATATGGTCACAGCAGCAAGAATCATAATGTGCTCCAAAATAGAGATCATTGGTTATATCTACAACAAGGGAATGGTTGGGAAAATGTGGGAATTGGTTCTTATAGCAAAATTAGCACATGAAAACAGAGGGAAACAGATAGTATTGGGACAGTTTTATAATAGTAGCCAGTGAGAAGCAGTGTTTAAGAGTGCAGGACTGGGACTCAGGCAATCTGGGTTCTTGTCCCCATTCAGCTATGGAGCTCACTGGGTGGCTTTGGGCCAGTCGCAGACTCTCAGCCCAACCTACTTTCACAAGGTTGTTGTTGTGAGGGTAAGGTGGAGAGGAGGAGAATTATATAAGCTGCTTTGAGTTCCTTGATAGGAAAAAAGGTGGGAAGTAAATCGAAGGAAGGAAGGAAGGAAGGAAGGAAGGAAGGAAGGAAGGAAGGAAGGAAGACATAGAATTACAAAGAATTCAGAAATATTACAGATTTTATCTATGTTCCGATTTTAGTGACGTGGCAGGGGAGTGAAGACATAGTTTAAGAAAAAAAATGTTTTTCTGTTTTTAATAGTTATAGTTTAAATTAGGATATAGTTTAAATTAGGATATAGTTTAAATTAGGATTTTTTATTACTATTTAAAAGGTTAGAAGTGACATCCTACAAATTTGAAAAAAACAGCACATTATATACCATTAAAAACAAATTTGTTATTACATTTGTAAACTTTTTTTGCTTCTTTACAATTAAAAATGAAGAAAATGAAGAAAATAGTAATATTCTTGTGTCTTACAGCTCTGAACAAAACAAGAAATGAAATTACAGCAGTTAAGAAGCAGTGTGAAGACCTTAAGAAAGAATATGATAACCTTACAGAAGAACACAAAAAGCTGCAGGTAGGTGACAAAGAAATTGGACTACCTGAAGGTCGACTAACAATGTTTGTTATCTCCAGAAGAGTATTTATCAGACAGTCTTGAACTCTGTGTAAGTTTGAACATACTCTTTCAGAATAAAGAGAATACTTAACCCTAAATTTTCCTAGAATTCTTGTTGGAATAGAGCCTCTTTTTCAAAAAACAGAACTGATTTTTTTTCTAGAATATTTAATTAGCATGGTGTTGCTGCAGTAGTACTGCAAAGGAGAGAATGGAAACTCAAAAGGTATTTTACCCTTGAAAAGTTACTGAGTTTCTTTTTTTTTCTAAAAGACTTAGGTAAAAAATACTGGGCTGGGTACACTGTGAAGCAGGGAAACAAATCTTAGCAGGTGGCTTACCATCATATTTGGAATAAGAGAAAATCATCTGCAGGTTAGACTGCAGTAACAGTGAATTTTCATCTGCTATGCTGTGGAAGTAGTGTCCAGAACAGGAAGTGAGGGGCAGTTTTTCTTTTTTGTCTTTTTTTCACTTTTTTCACTTGAAATCAATGGGGCTAATTACCTATACCAGCTCCAGGCTGCTGCAATTGATGGGCCCAGTCTGAGAATGAACAGGAACAGAAGGACTGGGATATAGAATATCCAAAGTGCTGACACTGAAATGGCCTGTTTCAGAGTTTGTGGCCAGTGCAAAGCTTTCCCCAGGTAGCCACCAAGGTGGACATGGTCCTATCACCACCTATCACCCCACCAGTCAACAAATGTAAGGTTTAGGATTGCTCTACCCTACAGTAAAAATAAATAGTAACTTGCTCACTTTTAATGGTATCCCAGAATGTGTTGTCCCAGGCCAAGGTCTTATACTATTTTATTTTATTTTATTTTATTTTTTCATTTCATTTTAATTTTAAACATTTGTATGCTGCCCAATTGTGCCACAGCACCTCTGGGCGGCTCACAAGCTCTTTGCTTTTGGATTTATCCAACTCTAGATTTTGATTCTGTGACTTTGATTTCAGAAGATTCAGAGTCTAGTGTGTATTTGTAATGTGCTCATGGCCAAATGTTATTTTCAGTGGAAAGCCTGACAATGTTGGTCAGCTGTTTGAAATGTTGCCTATTTTACTAATGTTCAGTCTACAGAGTGGTAACACTGAGTTTATACTGAATTCCAAAAATAGGATCTCCCATTATTCCTTCTGTTTTGGAAGACACAATGTTAGTTGTATAGGGCACAGTGCTATACAACATAGCAGGGGAAGAGATTTATGTCCCTTATCATCGCCACCCAACCTTTCTCTATCACATCCACCTCCTTCTGAGGAAAATTGAAGGCCTTTTTCAGGCTCTCAGAAGGAGTCCTAATGGGATGGAGATACATGTTACATTTGGAAAAACCCAAATCAAGGCCTGGGTAGAGCTTGATTTGAGTTTTTCCCTGCACACATGATTTGACTAAATGGTGTTTTGGAGGAAGACCTCTTTCCTACCTTTATGATTTCCCCAAGATGTGATACTGTTATTGTTCTCTTATACCAGGGGTGGACAACTTGTGGACCTTCAGATGTTTCAACTTACAACTTCCATCATCTCTCACCCATGCTGGCTTGAGGACCCCTAGTTGTCCACTCCTTTGGCATATTCCAATTTTTTTGTAGACTGAGTGAAAGACATTGTTATTCTGAGCTGCAAGTTTTCTCCTCTCATGTCTATTTTCCTGCTTTTACAGGGCTGTGCAGATGAAGAACATTATAAGAAATACCAATAAATCCAGTTTGGGGCCATCGGCTTTAATAAAACTGCATCAACATGAATTGTCAATTGTTCCTATCTTTATCCTCCAAAGATATATGAAACAGTTTATTTTCTTCCCAGGAAATGCACTGACTTAATTGTTAAAATCTATAGTTTTCAATTGCCAAGCATTTTATTTTGCAATGAAAATTGTGACCAGAATGAAAGTCCTACTTCAGTTGTGCCTAAGGCCCAGTGGAACTGTTGCCTCTTTTTGTGTAAATGGCAGATTCTTACTCCACTGAGTTACAAAAAGTAATGGAATGATTCATAAGTTGCTGTTCTTCAGAAATCCTAAGACCACATCTCCTCTGGGCATACAGAACTATTTGTATGGTTTATTGGATTTAAACCAATAAGTGATACGTTGGGAGTATATTCTGAATTGTATAAGAAAAAACAGAATAGCATTTTTAAATGGAAATTTCCATTCAACTCCTATCCAGTATAAATTAAAAAACAGTTGAATGACTGCCTATCACCTATTGCTTGTAATGTTAGGGAAGACCATATAAATTATACCAAGCTGTAAAATTATGGTGAATTAATCTACCTTTCTGGAGATAATCAGGAAAGTCATTACACTTGGTCAGTAGAAAAAAACATAGTGGAATAGGTTTTAACCATGTGGTCAAGATAATTTGACAATAAGTGTTAAAGAAATTTTAAGGACACTGTGCATTGAACTGTGTAAATATGCGTGGTTTTCAGTTTTCCTTGCCAGATTTTCACTGTAGCTCATTATTTTTGTTTACATGTATTCAAGAACTTGTATATGTTATGTGCCATTGTGTTTTCTTCAGTACTGTATGTAGATAATACATCTAAAATTTTTATAACATAACTTACAAAACAAGTTTTTAAGGGTTAATTATGATTATATAGCATTTATGTTGAACTGGATTGCAGGCACACCGCTCCACAAACAAAGGGAAGTAGAATCCAGCATAAGTCTCTTTTTTGCCAAGTCGTTTGCTCCTCTGCAACCCTCCACATCAGTGCCCATACTGATCTAGAAGGCCTCCTAGTATTCTAGCTTTTCAGGGCACTGCAGTAAAGAGGATGAAGTGGTAGAAATCACTGCTCCATTGCCTTCTTCCATAACCTGTAGAACACTGCTGAGCACAAGTCTGAATCCAGCCCATTGTTTTCCAAAAATCTTCAGTGATTGGAATTGAAAGTATATTGTTCATTTAGTTGGTTGGCTGGTTTTTATTTTTGCATTGGTTCATATCATACTTGATTGCTTTGTTAATAAAAAGATTGTTTAAGCTTAGTCTTTTACATATGTACTTTGTAAACTGAATTTCATAAGACAACTCACATTCTGCAAAACTGAAATGTGGCACTGGAAATTATTCAAACCAAACTACATACCTGGGTGCAAAATTCAAAATAGTGCATCTGCTTTGCACTATTTTGGAACTGGTATTTTTGAAAGAAATTCAGATATTATGAAACCAGCTTTTGTATACTAATATCAAAAGTGCCTTGAATATCCAACATTTCATGATTTTGAGCTCACTGGATTCATGTTTACATCAGTAGATTTAAAGTTTCAGGCTTTCCTCTGAGTTCATGTGTGTTTTCAAGATGCAAGAGTATTAAAATCTGTGAAGTCTTAAGTCAGAGGATTTACTTTTGAAAACCTACACCCAGATATTTGGTCTTTAAATATAATCATGTAGAACACCAGTGAGTTTGCCTTACATGCTCTGGGGACTGATTACTGCATTTATAGGAGGACTCACTAAAGGCACTGGCAATTCAGGGAAATGAATTGATTTTATCAGGACTACAGTGACTATTAAAAGGTAAAGTCCAGTGATGTCTGAGTCTTGGGGGTGGTGCTCATCTCTGTCTCCTGGCTGAGGGAGCCAGCATGTCCGCAGATAGTCTCTCTGGTCATGTGGCCAGCATGACTAAACACTGAAGTGCGCAGATTGCTATTATCATCCCACTGAAGTAATACCTTTTTATCTACTTGCATTTCGAACTGCAAGGTTGGCAGGACCTGGGACAGAGCAACAGGAGCTCACCCCATTGTGCAGATTTGAACTGTGACTATATCTGCATCCAACTCCCTGCATTTATGTATGACATTTGATTGTTTTGTGTAACAAGATTTACAAAGGTAAATATTCCTGAAACATCATCTGAAGTCTATGCTTATCACTGGGCATTTAGCATACCTGCTGTGATGACACATCTTGGCCCTTACATCCTAATAACATTTCAGTTCATTTACACCTGTAGGATGGCAGCAGAGTATGTTTCTTAATTGTCATATTGTAAATTCTGCATGATAAAGGTTTCAAAGCCATGCTATTACAGTGCTGTGTTTCCTGTAATATCTGCTAGAGTAGAGGTGAGATGCAACCTGAAAATCTGGGTGGCAGCAGTCCCCCACACAATTTTAAGGGCTATTGCATTCTCATTATTAAGGATGAATCATGAGGCAGGTTGTAGAAATGTGGAAAGCCAGTTTGCAGAAATGTAGAGAAAGATGTACAGGTTTTACTTAAGATGTACTAAATATAACTGTTGAACACTACTGGGTGTAGGTGTTCCAATCTTCCAGTATCCTAATGTTCCTATTATATCTTGGTTTCCCTTCTAATGGACCGTGGTAATACTGCCCAGGTGTTACATTACTTCTGTGTATCATGTTCATCTTGTGGGGAGGAGAATTTCCCTACACACATTAAAAAAACTCTACCTTCCAGAACCTCCTCCACAAAAAGGGACACCCTGCACTCATCTAACGGTTTAAGTTATATATGCATGTCATTACACAGAGGAACAGCCCCTACCTGTATGTGCTGGGCATGTACAATTGAGTACCTTTCTCATGTTAGGACATTGGATCTGATAGGCACATCTGACCTTGAATTATTTGAAAATGTGCATGTGAATGAGCCCCTTTTTCTTTTGCCCTCCTTTCATTATCCTTAATAGTAGATGGTTTCTGCCAACTTGGTTCTAATTGAGGTCCAGTAATGAACAAAACTGTAATTCCTTGTGGCATTGTGATGTAAGATAACAAAATGAACTGTTTTCTGTCTGGCCAGTTTTTATAAGTCACTTATTAGTTGAACACTATTTGCTTACAAATATGACTAACAACAAAGGTATTACAGTGTTCTAGAGTATGTTTTCATTCAAAAGATTTCTTTTTCCTTCTCTCACCCTCTCACTGTCCACCAGGAATTCCTTTTTCAGATGTCCTACACAGAAAATACACAGAGACTATTTTGTAGTGGGTAGTATACAAAAGTTTTAAATAATAAATAAATTTCTTCTACCTATGTATGTCTAGCTTCCAGTGCAATCAAAAGGAACATTACTGGAAAAAAGTCTTTTTACACATTTTTAGAAAGTTTGCATTTAGTACAAGAAATGTTGGTATAATTAATACATAAATAAACTTGACCCCAGACTGGGACAATGCCAATAGTATCATCTATCGAAACAGTTTCCATCTAGTTAAGTTGTAGGATGATAAAAGTGGTAGAAGCCTGAAGATATCAAAAGCCCAGTTCAAAAACAGGTTGTTTAGCCTGTATTATTTGACAGACACTGACTGCTACTGAATGATATATATATGACATTTTAAAAGCCTCAGAACTTTAAAAGATGCAAAACTTCAGATGCATCAAGTATATACATAGTAGTTAAACCTTCTGCTTACTTATTTAAATGAACATCAGATCTTTTGCTAATTATTGATATTCATGGAGAGGGTCAAATTTGAGGGGTCAAATTAGTTCTTTGTCCACTGTTGCTTCCAAGTACCTTCATTTGCAAAGTATTTCAAACGATTTCAATAGAGTAGGGCCAAACTAAACATTAAACTGGAAACTGCACAATTTAGCATTAATCCAGCATTTTAAGAAGCGTGTGCTGGGTAATCTCAAAATAGCACATAAAAATACTAGCATGTCCTATATCACCATGTGATAACATTTTAATGCAATCTATTTCATTAGCTGCCCCCCCCACTTCCCATTGAACTACACTGAAACAACACAATCTGAATGTCACTGATGCTGTGTACACTGAAACTTCACACTGAAATCTGGAGGCAAAGTTAAGATCCTTCAGTTAGAAGGGTTCAACAACCACTGAGTAAAGCTATGATAGTAGCAGACAACATGTGACTAGTGGCAGCACATTTTGTGTTTTTCAGCTGTTTTGTTAATTTATAGTAGTTGTAATCCACTGTGCCAGATTCCTGTTTTAAGTTCCATTGATATTAACAAGCTGCACAAGCAATGTCCTTCAGGTAAATGGAAACTGAATAGAAGTTTCTGGTTGATGTATTGAACTAAGTTACTCTCCCACTGAGCTGTCCCATAAAGTCATGGATTTTCCCACTCTTCTATATTTACTTTTAAATAGATGCATAATCTGCAGTATAGATGCTTCCTTTTTATGGGCTCATAAATGCCTTGCACTTGTCAATCACATAAGTAAAGAAAACTGTCAATAGCTGACTGAAAGAAATAACAAAGGTATGTATTGCTGAGGAACAGTTTTGAACATGCATGCATGTGAATGTCATTTTAATTAGCTGAAATGCAGCAATAGCTGTATGTATGAGCGAAGTTGAATTAGATGGTGTTTGATCCAAATTTTGGTTTATGCAACTGGGCTGGAAATGTTTCTGAAGTCTTAAGCACATGAGGACTCATAAAGATTGTTACGCAAAATTCTTCTGCATTCCTGAAAATCATTCAGAGGCACCTTTTGTGAGTGGTTAACAAAGTCCACTTCTGCCATCCCCAGTTGCACAACCCTAAATTTGTATAGGATGCACAGTGCTGAAGTTAATGGGTAAAATAAAAGTTCTTTCAGTAGTAATTAAATTGCTAATACCTTTCCCACCCATGCATGGTATCTTACACTTATCAGCTGTGTAGCTAATGAGGCAATGTTCATCATATATGCAGTGTTAAATACAGCCCTTAATAGAATATTGCAGACTATGTAAGAAAAAAACTGTGTACATTAATCTGCACTTTTAGAGACAATGAAGCTGGCAATATTTAACCAACAAAGTAATTGTTGTCTTGCCTCAATTTCAACTTGGTAACATTTTCTATCAGATTCTTCTCTACCCCAGCAGCACCAGTGGCAAGAATATAAGGAGAGTTATGGATGCATTCATGTTGAGAGATCAAATAGCCTGGTACTCCAAGCTGAGACCAGGGTTTTGGAAAGACTTTATTCTCCCTTGTGGACCTGCCCTCTCTACTGAGGAAATGCTGGGGAAGACCACCTTGGCACTGCTCCCAGGATCTGGGACTCCCTGCCAAGAACTGCAAGTCTAGCTACCTTTTTATTGCCCTTCTATCAGATAAATACACTTGAATTCAAGCAGGTCTTGAGCTGTTAAGCTGTTTTGTTTGCTGCACTAGATTTGTCTTGGTGCTGCTTATTTCCTTTTGACTAATATCATTTTTATCTATCTTGCTACCTGCCTGTCTACCAAGAAAAACAATGCTGGAGGTGCTTTTAAAGATGTTTTAATTATGTTGCTTTTTTATATGTATTTATTGTTGTTAGCCAGCTTGAGTACTATGTTTACAGGAAAGGCGAGGAATAAATAAATAATTACTCAGCCCCATTCACACTTGGCACTGATATGGGGGTTCCCAGAAGCATGGAAGTTTTTGTACTTAAAGCTGTAAACCTGAACGGTCCTTCCCTGTAAACATTCACAGTGTAAGTACAAACAGCAGAGGGTGAAGCTGGCCATGCAGCCTGCTCTCCACTCACCTGTTGAGTAAACAGGAGTGCTCATATTAAAATGAGGATGCAGTACTTTGAGCCTTTGCTGAATGTTTTGAAAATTCTTTATTAGGTCTGGTAACCTGCTAGAGAACTTTTAGCTGATTCATCTTCTGTCTTTGATTAAACAATTCTCACTGGGTCACTTTGGCCCAGATACAAACTCTCAGCCCAACCTACCTCACAGGGTTGTAGTTGTGAGGATAAAATGGAGCTATGTAATCCAGAAGGCAGGATGTAATATGCAATAATTGCATTGTAATAATGCAATGTAGTAACAATAATAAGAAAAAAACCCATGTATGTATTTCCAAAACTTTAAAATGTTAATTTATAATTTATTTTGGTTTAAATACTGTGAAATAAGTACAAGAAAATTTACATCAGATGTTGAAAAAAAATTCTGTCCAACAGCTGAATTCCACGTTGGAGAATCTCTCAGGCTGCATTCCAGTTATGGATGAGACTGAGGACAAAAGGCCTAGAGCCAAAAGGAAAAAACGTGGGTCAAAATTCCAGCACATTTTTGCTTAAAGTTGTTCCTGGCAGTAACTAAGCTTTTGGGGAGGCAACACAACCTTTAAGAATGGAGGAAAAACTGCACAAATCTCAGTAAAGCATCAGATAATTAGGGGTTGGGAAAGAGGGCTGGGACCACAGGAAGAGGGCTTGCCTATTTGGGGAAGACCAGAGGGCTGGGTTTCAACTCCAGGTCTTAAATTGACTTACATTTCAATGTAAGCTACTACGTAGTGACAGAAGGGAATAATCTCTATTTTTTTCCATGTCCTTTTATATGTATACCAGAACTGGAATAAATTATAGAATTAAGTGTGTTTACCTCTTAGCGTCACTGATCAATGCTGAATAAATCAACTGAAACTAAAGTTCATTAATTTATTAATACTTGCAGCCACATTATTTATTATAAACATTGTGACAACTTTTACTAGATACTTGATTGCAGTACACCATGACTGCAATTCAATACCAATTTGCCTGTGGGTAAGCCCATTGAGTTCAATGGAAGCTCTGAGCATATATAGCCATTTCATCTGTATTTCTCCTTTCAGGACAGATACCACTTGTATCATTTACACACACTGTCCATTTATTTACCTAATTTGCCTATCAGATTAGTGAGTTCATCATATGAGAAAAAATATATAGCAGGTCAACTCATTTTGAAATTGAAACATTGTTGGTAACAGCAAGAGCTGGGAACATATTTCAATAAACAGTATGTGCACATCCTAATCACTCATATGAGTTTGTGTGGTTTGTGTCAAGGAGAATGGAGGGAACAAGCTCTGTAAATCTGAAGAATTTGTCTGTCTCCAGGGAATCCGTTCCACATTAACGTGTCCACCATAGCACTTGCATGCTTCTATCGAGGGAATCCTTTGCGTACAAGAGGATCCCAAAAGCTCCTTCTCCATCTACTCAGTTTTACTATCCTACACAAAGAGAACAAGCAAAGAGTGCCCAACATTCTCCCATGCCTCAGCACTGTATCAGCGGTGGACACCCATCAGCTTATCTTTCAGGAAAGCTCTTCACATTGAAAGAACTCTGAGAAGTATCCAAGGGACTCCAAGGTTCTTGTAGATGATGAGGCTGAAGTTGGTTACTAGTCATCATGAAAATACAAAGCAGGGAAATGCAACCTCAGTAAGGAACTGAAGTTGATCATCGGTTCCTGCATCCCAAAATAAGCTCCAGGCTGCTGGGTTTCATGTTCTCTCCTCGACCCAAAACAAAGCATTGGGCTGGATGCAATGCTAGGGCATCCTGAAGGTGATAGTCTCCCTGTGTCCTTTGGCGTGGCCGAGTGCACACCCATGTTCCTTATCCATTTGAGCATACATGGCTATCCGTGGCATGGAGGCAGAACATTTTACAGCGTCCAGTGAAAAAGCAAGCATAGAGCATTGTTTTGCAGAAGACACTCTTCTGGAGCTGTTGTGTCTGCTTTGTGGTGGCCCAAAGTTTGGTTTGGAGTGCACTCTCAAATGCTTATTCGCAACTACCAGCTGAGATTGTCAGACCCAAAAGAGAACCACACTGCACACACTCCCGCACACACATGCAGGAACAAAAAGCAAGCGAGCATGTACGCGCACACACGGTTGGAGATCATTCTTGCAAATCCCAAAGGGGAGAATCCCCAATCGTAAGCTCAAAGCTTATGGGGACTGCTGGCCTGGCAGATAAGCTCCGGTCCCCTCTTAAGGCTGCTTGTGCTACTCTGTGTCGAACTTCCATCGCAATAGGGAGCTGCTGGGAGCTTTCTTTAAGGAAGGCGTCGCCCTCTCCAGCCCCTTCCCGCCCAGGGTCGCCGAGGCTGCCGCCCCTGCCCTTGGCGCGTGCTGCCGTGCACCGAGGCAAGGCGGCGCAGGGCGCGGAAGGGAGGAGGCGCAGGCTCGGCGGGCCCATCACGTGCAGCCCGGTGCTTCTGTTTGCCTGTAAATAGAGCACGCGCGGCCGAGGCTGGGGTGACCGTATAAATGCCGCCTGTGCCCCAAGCTGGGGCTCCGGCGGCACGCGCAGGTAAGGGCCCCGCGCGCAGCGGGAGGTTGCCTGGCACAGCGCGTGGCGCGGAGGGCGCAGGAGCAGCGGTCCGGGCGGCGGCGGCGGCGCCGCTTCAGGACTCGGACAGCGCTGCCCTGCGCGGAGCGCCAAGCCGGGGCTGCAGGCGCCGCCCCCTGCCCTGCCCGGCGCCGCTGAAATGCGGCGGGCTCAGCGGGATACGCGGCGCGCGAGGGGGTCGGTGGTCTGGGGCGCGCTTCGCAGCCCGCTCCGCCGTCGCTGTCCCGAGGGGACGGACACGAGCGAGCGGCTTCGGCGGAGTGTTGGCAGAGGGCGCTCAGCACAGAAGCAGCGGTTTAGCAGCAAGGCTCCGGGACCTGGGCAGAGGAGCTGACAGAAGGCTCCTTTAGGAGATGGAGCTGGCTGCCCTGGCAGTTGCCAGCAGTGGGAAGAAGCTGGCACCAGGCTCTGCTGCCACTGGCTGAGTTCACCTGGCTCATCCAGGTGCAGACTACGCCCGGAGGGCACTCTGTACGCGATGCCTGGCTGCCTTTGGAGGTTGTGTGCTTTGGAAATGTTGCCCTTCTTCATTCTTTCTACCTGTAGGCAGGGCAGGGGCATGGCAGCAGGTGGTGGGGTTGATGGTGTGCTCCCGGATCTGAGTCGCTATGTGGTGTCCCGGCCCATCTACAATGAGCCAGCCTTTCAAGAGGAGAATGAGAGGAAATTAGTGGTGCCCAAAACATTCCGGGAACGAGTCCAGAAAACTTGCAGGTGACTGATTGACGTGCAGCAACACCTTTAGGTGGGACACAGGAAAGTCTCATCCAAGAATGAGCACAAGAGGGTCAAAAGGGACCCTGGAACAAATGGGAGGTGGGCCATGATGGGGGAACAGGAGCAGTTCACAGTGTCATTTTAGCAATTTTACGTTTTCTCCTTGGCAGTTGTTCCAAGAAAAAAGCTGTTCAGATAGCCAAGACCACCTTTCCTATCCTGGAATGGTTGCCCAAATACAGATTTAAGGAATGGCTCCTCAGCGACATAATTTCTGGTGTCAGTACTGGACTTGTGGGTACTTTACAAGGTAAGAAAGGTGCAAACATTCCTACTGAACTATTCTTTTAAAAGAAATGAATAGGATTCTATTGGAGCTGAGAAAAATGAAAATGAAAATTAGTGGGGACTAGTCTTACCTAGGCATTTGTTTATTCTTGAAATCTAGTATTTTGAGATCCTTCTCTTTATAAAAGGCAATCACTTCCTTCAGAACAGCCAAATAATGGTAATGCTCCTGGCTTCTAACTTTCTGATGGATTCAGCATTATTTGGCATTTTTGCAACCTTAGTCATTTTAGGCTTCCTTTTGATTAAGGATTACTAAAATCAGGGTGAAAATCTGACTATTTACAAATGGTGTATGTTAAATAACACAAACAGCTCAGATTTGTACATGCAGCTGAATATCCAATAAGAGAGACAACTGAATTTTACCAGTGTAAAAAGGAAAGTGCATCTTTATTACTGTACTAAAGTTTGATGAAGATGTTAAAAGGGGCCACTAATTTTTATTTTCTACTATTTCAGGTTTGGCATACGCATTACTGGCTGCAGTTCCAATTGGATATGGCCTCTACTCTGCTTTTTTCCCCATCTTACCATACTTCTTCTTGGGAACATCAAAACACATCTCAGTTGGTAAGCATATACTTTCTTTTGATATCAGTCAACTTTTTCTCCTGGAATGCTAAATTTTATTCAAAATTATTAATATTTTATGTGAGGCAATCATATTGGTAGATCCAATTCGCTATTGTAGACATTAATGTTCATATACTTTTGGTGTGACTGAATTTTGTACAGCTCCATGTTTATCCATATTTTCACATTATTATTATTATTATTATTATTATTATTATTATTATTATTATTATTTCTATACTACCTAATAGTCAGACCTCTCTTGCATCCATACTTTATTTTGTCGAGGAGCCTTATTTTTCTAGTACAAAAACTTAAGTATAACAGAAGCAGGTTACATAACATCAAGGCCACTGTCCATTGTGAGTAACGTTGGATGCCAAATATGGGTGCCAAAAGAATAGCAGGGTGCTCCTATTTCATAGTAACACTTGCAACATATTATTTATGTGATACATGTTTATACATAACTGTGAAAATAATGCATAAGATGCACATCATTGGGCAAACAGTTTGTGATAAGTATGGCAAGCTGGAAATGAATTGATTTATCTTGTGGGAGCTGTGTTCTTAACCTGAAAAATGCTGCCTTTATTCTTTGTTTTGATTATTTGTATATTTACTGAATGTTTTACAGCATTTTATTATTTGTTTTATTGTTTACCACCTTAAACACATTAGTTGTCTAGATTTAGACACATGCAACTGGATTGGAAGATGCAGACTTCTTGCCCATGTCTTCTCCACAGGGATCTCTCCAGACTCCTAAGAGTGTTACACAGAAGGTCATGAGACCTTGCAGAATGGGGTGGGCTATGGTGTATGGCGAGGGGTTCCTGACAGTTGCTTGGAGATACATTCTGTGAGTGAAGTTCCACTGATGGAAGATGCCTTGGCCTGGTTTGCAAGGATCCCTTCTTCCCCCTCTGCCTTCCTTCACACTACAGCTTACCCCAGCAGGATCCCTTAACCCTCCGTGCAGCAATTTCAGAAGACTAGAAGGGTTGCCATGGGAAGGAGAAGACAGGGAAAACCACTTCCACCAGCCCAGTTGCAAGCACTTAAATCTAAACCAAACCGTCATTAGGAAGTGGTCTATACATTCTAAATATGTTAATATATATAAAACATTTCTCCTAACAGGACCTTTCCCTGTGGTCAGTTTAATGGTGGGATCAGTAGTGCTGAGCATGGCACCTGATGAAAAATTCCTTGTGGTTAGCAGTAACATGACGGGGTTGAACAAAACGTTTATAGACACTGATGCCAGAGATGCAGAGAGAGTGTTGATTTCCAGCACCATCACGTTTTTGGTTGGCATTATCCAGGTAATATGTCTGGACAAAACTGTCTCAAATGTTGCTACTATGCTTTTATTGTATAAAATAAAAAATAACTACAAAATGGAAGAAATTTCCATAGCAATTAATACAATGATTCTCCTTAGTTAGAATTAAGATGCATTAAAGTAGAATGGGGAACATTTACCTTATATTGCAAATCTATTTTTAAAAGCCAGGGTCTCCTGTAAATCCAAAGTGCGAAAGAAAAAAAATAGTTGATTGGGGTTGTATCTGTGAAAACATGAACAAACAAGAAGAATGGACAAAAGACAACAATGTTAAGTTTATAAGTTAGTATATCCATGAAACTTTAAATGTTCAGCAGACTCAAGTATAAAGTTTCTCCTGTACTATACATGTCTGGCTGCAAATAGGAAATCCCCCTTTCCTCTTCTTTTTAAAATATTGATCTAGGAGGGATAGATTCTACACCCAGAAAAACAGCAATTCAGGTTGAACCCTGATTCCAGAGATTCTAATTTTCTATGAGCAAGGTTGCTTGTGTTCTTATGTTGTTTCTGATAGAATGGGAGCATTCAAAGGGGAGGTCTTTAGCCTGAAGTAGTTCTGAAGAGATTCATCACATCATTATACTGAGTCTGACTACTGCTATTACCCTCTGCAGGGGTGGTGTACCTATTATACCCTAGTCTGGAATGGGGATTCTTAAGGGAAATTTCCAATCAGAATGATCAAATTCTAGCTGCTCTCTGTGTCAAAAGCCCTGTTTGCTCTATAAAAGCCTTCTCTCACCTTGTGCTTGCCAGACAGGTTTGGACTGCAACTCCCAGAATTCCCTGCCAATGGCCCCGCTAGACGATTCTGGGAGTTGTGGTCCAAATGCCTCTGAAGGCCACCAGGTTGGGGAAGCCTGTTCTATATGGTTATGTGAAGCTTACTAAGACTGCAGACACAATTATGAACTTGTTATTGAGCTTAATCTGTAGCAATTATGGCAAGGAAAAACAGCAATTCTCTGCTACCATTGTGCCCTTGGCATGTTATCCAGCAGAACTTTTCCAAATATTATGGGTCATTTTACATCTTGGTTCACAATAGGAAATCAAAGCATTAGAGGCCGGCTATGACCTGTTTGCTTAACATTTGAAAAATAATATTGCTTGTATCTGGCTTGACTTAGACACAGCTATCCTTGCTGTTCATTCCAGAGTGGTGTCCAGGTTACCATCTGGTCCTGAGCTATTGGGTGAATTTCAATTGTTGTGGTGTGAAAATTTGAACAAGAGTTTGCTCAACCCTTGCTTCTGATAGTTGATAACAACCCCCTGAAAACAGTTGCCTAGCCAGTTTCAGAAAATGGTCCTGCCCACCTTGAAAGCTACCTGTTGGGAGGCTGCTTCCAAAAAAGTCCTACTGGTCTTTGAGGGTTGTAATCTATTGATTGTACACCAATATTCCTTCTTGAACAAGGCGGATGTTTTTCAACTTCAGGCACTCTTTGCTAAAATAGATTATTGCATCCATTTCAATCCAATTTGGTATAGCAACTGTTTTGGTCTCCCTGATGTTGGGAGAAGAAAGGGGAAATGTGACTGCTAATTCTCCTAGCTATCTCAGTCCAATAGCTTCCAATCCATATATCCCATTTCATAAGCTTTCTGGGTTGAGGACTGGAGGTATGTGCTTCTGTGGTTCCATTCCTGTGTAGATGGCTGATTCCATAAGATGGTACCCCACAAGCTTCCTTTCTGTCTCCCATGAATACTCATCCAAGTTGTTGGGTGGGGTGTCAAGGGATTTGGAGTGAGGAGTTATCCACACATGGATAACACTTAACCCCTTTACATTTGAATTATGTGATACAACTGGTGTGTTGAACTCATGCCCAAAATTGCTAATTGTCTGGCTGAGGGCCAATCCACTGAAACTAAATAAGATGAAAGTACTGTGTGGTCCATCTAATCTGGATGGTAGATGGCTACCTGTTCTGGATGGGGAGTATACCCCCTGTAGCATGTGCAGTCTGGGGGATGCTCCAAGATCCAGCTTTGTCACTGGAAGCCCAAGTGGTATCAGTAGCTTTCACCCCCTTGGTAGTGCCGGCAGGGCTCTCCTTGCTCACAGTTACCTGTATGTTGTCGTCCTCCAAGCCACACTCCTGGAATGCACTACATGTCAATCTACCTGTTGAAACCCTTTTGGAAATTTCAGCTTCTTCAAAAAAGAGCTTCAAGATTTTGGCCAAGAGCAGTTAATGGGACTATATCCCACTGTACCTTAAATATCTTTACTGGTTAGCAGTCCATGTTTAGGTACAATTCAAAGTGCAGGTGCTTGCTTTTTAAAGCTCTACATGACCTTGAAGGACCTAAAAGAATGGCTGTCCCATCATCTATTTTCCCATCCACTGAGATCATTCTTGGAGGTACACCCCTGGGTGTCTCTGCTGACAGAGGATGGAAAATAAGGAGCAGGTTTTCTCTGTTGTAGAACCACCATTTTTTTAAAAAAATTCCCAGGTAGGGGGTCTAAATCCTGAATTTTAAAAATGTTGTGGTTTAATTGCACTGTAATGCTACTTAGCATCTCAGAGGATGATTCAGTCTTTCTTCTTTTTCCAGCTTGTGTTTGGAGCTCTTCAGATTGGTTTTATTGTGAGATATCTTGCTGATCCACTTGTTGGGGGTTTTACAACTGCAGCTGCTTTTCAAGTGTTTGTTTCACAGCTGAAAATAGTCTTAAATGTTTCAACCCAAAATTACAATGGGGTTCTTTCCATTATCTATGTAAGTGCATCTTACTAAACTGAGTTATATTGCATGGCATATTATAAATATCCTCTTTAGGCAATATCTTACAATTTAACCCAACAATTTCGTATACAATGGATCTATATAGCAGATTAGAGAAAGGACTTTTTCCTCATTGTAGATTTTATTAAATCTGTGGGCAAATCAGTTGTATAACATCTATGGACATGAGGACATTACGAATGCTAATTGTTATTTAATAATGATTTTATCAATAATTATGGGGTTAATAATATAAAAGTTGGCCCCAATTCATGGGTCAAAATTCATAGCAGTAGGTGCACATGTGTTCTCCAGGTAGCTGGCTGGCACTGGCACTGTCACATTTAATAGTCCTGATCACCTGCTGGGGAAGGTGAGGCAACAGGTCCTTCAGCGCTGGTTCTGTAGAATATTTGTTTGGAGAGTCTATGTGCAAAACTCCTCCCATATTCTAGCACGGTTCTGGGACCAGCATGAAAACATCCACATCAGTTCCCTTTTATTTATTTAAATATTTATACACCGTCTTTTTGAACCAAGCTCATTTAAGACAGCAAACAAAATACAAGCTAAAAATACAGTAATATATTAAAATAAACTGTAAAATTTAGATCACACAAACACTAACCATACATAAAACGTTTCCCTATATTTATCTTATATATATCTTATCTAAGAAAATTAATGTAGCATTAACTGAAGTCTGCCTGTCTCTGTCTCTCTGTCTCTCTGTCTTTCTGTCTCTCTCTCTCTGTGTGTGCGTGCACACACACATGCACACACACAGAATGAGAAAGAGAGAGATTTACAAATGAGACATGTAACAAAATGTTTACATTCTGGAGTGTTTCTGTTCAGGATTTTGGCCAGCCAGTTGTACTGCTCTCCAAAAAACTTCATTTCATTATTCTTTCAGAATTCCATGCTCAGTGAGTTGTTTTAGGATCTTTTCTGCCACTACCCACTTTAGGATACTTTTCCCTAAAGATTTGCTTTTCGTATTGCAGATCTTGGGGTTTCCCAAACTTCCTGATACCTTCTTGCATGAGGAAAGTGTTTTAGTATCTACACTTGGAGAATAAATTTGCTATCAGTATATAAGATGATACATGCACAAATATACAAGAAATTAATTGATTTAATCATTGGATAAATACAAACACATTAGGACATATATAGTCAGGTGATTTTGTTGTATCAGACGGTAGTCTTTAATTAAATATATTTCACTAATACTGTTTGGGTCTTTGCTTCTTCTTGGAGGAAATGAAGGTCTATTTGAATTAAAATTAAACCACCATGACAATTAAATTTAAAATTAAACCACCACAACAATGGGCCACAACATTCTGGTTAAGCATATCTCATATGTCTGAACAAGAGTGGCAACATTTCTGTACAAGAAAGCAGTGTGATATAGTGATTAAGAATGCTGGACTGGAACTCAGAAAACCAGCCATGAAGCCCTCTGGGGAACTTTGGGCCAGTCACTGCCTCTCAACCTAGCCTACCTTACAAGCCTGCTGCTGCTGCTGCTGCTGCTATGCAGATCAGATGGTGAGGCGGAGAACCTTGGAAACTGCCTAGCTCCAAAGTAATAGTAATAATCCACTTCAGGCACATGAATTTAATGCTGCTTGTTTTCTCAAAAGGACATCTACAATATCAGAAGGTTCTTGGTTTCTTTTAGAATTGCAATCTAAAAGACTAGACATAAGTCACACCACATTCAATGAGACTTATGTTTTACTTACGTGTGCATAGGATCATAGGACTATGAAGTTGGTAGGGCCTCAAAGATAATATAGCGCAGGAGTGGACAACTTCTAGCCCTCAAATGTTTTGGCCTATAATTCTCATTAGCCCTAGCCAGCATAACCAATGATGAGAGATGGAGGGTGTTGTACATCAAAACATCTGGAGTTGTATGTTCTTCTAGCAAACAGCTTGCGCTATTAGGAAGCTCTCCCTAATGTTTAGGTAAAATCCTAAAATTTCCTCATAATTTCAAATAATTCTGAGCCTATCTTTTGGCACCACAGAAAACAAACTTGCTCCATCATCTGTGTGTTTGAAGCCCATAAACTGACAGAGAAAGTCTCAAAGCTATAATTATGTTAATGTCTTTGTAAAAGCCATATTATCTGACTATTTGAATGCAAGCATTTTTCATTACTTTTCTGTTTTTCCTTTCTAGACCCTTGTAGAAATATTTCAAAATATTGCAACCACGAATATTGCAGATCTCATTGCTGGTCTGCTGACCATTTTTATTTGTATGGCAGTCAAGGAAATAAATGATCGGTTCCGACACAAGATCCCTGTTCCTATTCCTATAGAAGTAATTGTGGTAAGCTGACAGCTTTAATGCACTCAGACTCCGACTGGCAGGAGGGCAAGATCAATCTTTTCCATTGTTATTTCTTTTGATTTCAGACAATAGTAGCTGCTGGCGTTTCATATGGCGTTGACCTGGAGAAAAAATACAGTGCAGGCATTGTTAAACATATTCCGAGTGGGTGAGTGCAAATTGTTGATATTTTCATTGAAACAAATGGCCAAGTGTGGCCATTTACAGAGCAATCCTAACTGGGGCCAAAGCAGGGACTCTGCAACAATACCCCAAGCCCTGCCAGCTCATGCCAGCCTATATGTTGCAGATTGTTTTGCTAGAGGATTATTGCAGCTTAAATCCACACCCTTCATAAATGCAATGGCATGTATGTGTGTGCATGTGCACACACATGTTAGGAGCGTTAAACCAGTTTCACTAGACCAACTGGAGTAGAGTTCTGGTCTCTTCAAGTAATTGAGTGTGCTGCTGTTGCTCTTGCCACAAGAGACATAACACTGTGTCAGTCTTGGTTTTCTTTCCATAAAGACCATATTTTCTTGGATCAGGGTTCTCTATGAAGATTGAGAGCTCATTTCTGTTGATTTAATGGCACCTCTGCCATAGCCTAAGTCCTCTTCTAGGCAATGTAAATGAAAGAAAGAAGTGGGGTAATAAAAGGAAGTGCTGTCCCTTTGCACAATGGTATCAGGACTTGCAAAAAGGTTAACGTCCAAAAAGTGAGATTCCAGAGTTTAAGGTTTAGAGATTCCTGTCCTGCTGACCTAGCTGAAATACTGCTGACCCAGTGGACATTTATTAGAGACAGACAAGTACATATATTGCCCTATTTGTGTTCTTGCTCCATGTGATGGTCATCATTCCTAATTTCCCAGAAAATGAAGACTATAGAATGAACAAATTTTGAAGGGAATGTAATCTGTGTACTGCAGGAAGAAGGGTTATTTAGCACATTTCCTTCATATTGTGAAATAAGAATAGGATAATCATTTGTTTTACATCATCTATAGCTATTGTATTTGTAGAAAGCATGCACATACAAATGTTGATATATATTTTATTCTTTTTTTCCCTAGATTTTTACCTCCTGAACCTCCAGCTGTCAGCATGTTTGGAGACATGCTAGCATCTGCCTTTTCAATCGCTATTGTTGGTTATGCAATAGCTGTTTCTGTAGGCAAAGTTTATGCAACCAAATATGACTATGCTATTGATGGAAACCAGGTCTGTGAAACTCAAGTGTTTCTCAAAAATGATGATCCATAACTTAAACCTTATTTATTTATCTGTGGAGAATGGGATACATTATATTATTTTTCAGCTACCATAGTAACATTTATAACTAGAGTTTCCATAGTTGATATATCGAGGAGAGGAATAATCTTATTTATTTATTTGTTGGTTGTAATTATATTTCCCCATTTTTTCTCCAAGGGTCCCAGGGTAGCTTACACGATCCTCCTCTTCATCTCCACCTTATCCACATAACACTGTAAGGCAGAAAGCCAGTGACTGGCCCAAAGACACCCAGTGAGATTTATTGCCAAGTGGGGACTAGAACCTGACTCTTCTAGTCCAACACTCTAACCACTATGTTATTCTTGACAGAATAAAAGAGCAATCCTATGCTTGCCAAGACAGTGGGGAACCACACGCTAAACCCCTTCCCCTTTCTCCACCATCACAGCTGGTGTGGAAAAACTAGTTTGGCTTTTTTTTTTCTGACTATGGAAAACTGATCTCAGAGAGTGAGTAAAGGGGGTACGGAGGCGAAGAAGCTGGAACTACCAGGATGCGGGGCATCCTGGTGGTGCTCCAGTCTTCTTCTCTCGTCCTCCAAAGTGCCTCAGCTAGATGTATTGTATTGCACAGTGGGTGGTTCAGGAAGCAGATATTTATCTGCAGTGCCTCTTCCATTGTGTACAGGATGCTCCTAAACCTCTGAATTTGGAGACTTACAACCACAGAGGGTGGAGTCAATAGGACTGCTTCCTAAGCAACTCATTCATGGCAGAACTAGATATTCAAGCAGTCACATGATGATGAACTCTTCCCTCCACCTCTTCAGAATTGTAGTTATGGAAGCATGACATGATGCAATTATAGAAAAAGTTTCCCCACTTCTATTGTTTATTATTGATTGCTGCAGTGGGCAGCAATGTGCATCATGTACATTTCCACATCCATACAGGACAAGGCAGGAGGCAAATCATTCCATAGCACTGCTGTGTTTGGAACTGGAATCAACTCCATGTTTAAGTTCTATGTTCTAGTTCCAACTTCATATATACAGTGGTTCCTCAGCTCATGAATGCCTCAGTTCATGACCAAATTGGGTCGCGAAAAGAAATTTCAGAAAAAATTTGACTCGGGTCATAAACTCCATATTGGGTGACGATTGCAATCGCGCCTGTCTTCCCTGCACGATTGTGCTCAGGGGGTGGGGAGATGGCCACGATGGTGCTGTGGGGGAAGATGCCTGCGATTGTGCCTGTCTTCCCTGCATGAGTGTGCCTGTGATCGTGGCCCCTCCCCCCACGAGCTTGACCACGGCCACCCTTCCCCTCAGCGCGATTGCAATCACACTATTATGGTTTGGACTCTCCCCACCTAGGTTAGTGTTCTCTACTGTACTTTGTTACTTTGTTGTTCTTTGTTACTTTGTTTCAAATTTTTGTGATAAAAATATATTTACAGATTAGATTAACCTTATTTACATTGAACCTTACGGGGAAATTTGACTTGGCTCGTGACCAAAATCGGCTTGTGACCACGTTTGTAGGGGTCAGAACGGATTAACCTTATTTACATTGAATCTTATGGGGGAATTTGACTTGGCCTGTGACCAATTCTGGTAGTGACTAGAGTCATGGAACGAATTAAGTTCATGAGCCAAGGTACCACTGTACATTAAAAGGGTAACTGCGTAATTTTCAGCTATTCAACTACATTGACCCTTCATTCTAATTAACACATTATCCAAAATTGCAGCATATCAAAGATGGAAAGCATTACATGCATTACTAAACTGAAGTGTGTTTCTCTATACTAGTTATTAATATGATAGTAATCACCTGTGCTATTGTACATATTTTGTTGCAGAAAAGAAAGGTTGCAGATAGACTGGTATAACTGTTAGAAATAATGCATGAATTCATGGAGGGAAGATGGAAAGTCAATATTGCTCATTATTTTGAGGGTGCAAATAAAATTTTCAGTTAATATTGTTCAATTTGCTCTATTCTAGACATAGTACAATCTTTATATAATCTCAAATCTACCACACAACTACCAATGAAATACCATTTGATTTTGAAAGCCCATATTTGGTCAATATTTGATGAAACTAATAGTCACAAAATAGTACTTAAATTTTCGAGTTCTCCAGAACTCTTCATCAGGCAAGGTGTTAAAGTAAATGAGTGGGTGGGGGTGGGGGGGTGGAAGAAAGGGTTAGGGTTGATATTCAAGCCTTGGAGTCTACATCTAGTTACAATCTTGAGAAAGAAAATAGGAGGGGGCTGCAGATATTCAAATTAATCTCTATCACAAGGTAGGATAACCTTTGGCCCACAGAAGAGCCCAGTTGTTCCTCAGAGGACTAAGTCCTGCAGCCTGGGGTTTCAGGTTGCAGCTGGAGTACCTGAAGGGCAGCTGGGATGGCAAAACAGACAAGCAATGTTTGATCTCTCATTTTTTAAAAATATAAAATCCAGCTGTGCTCAAAAGCTGTCTCCATCCTTAGGTGAAACACAGGGCTTCTTTGAAAGGAGGAAAACAGAAGTAGAGAGAAACTACACATGTTTTATATCAGCAGAGGTGGAGATAATATTAGGTAGTGGACTAGGTTCAAGTCAATAAAAGCCAAGCTTTACAAATTAGGAAACTACAATACTTCTTATTTTACAGCTTCTTGGAAATCTTTACCTGTACAAAATGATTTGGATCATTAAAATTCTTTGTTTACACCAGCTTCTAATCTTCTAGGAGTTTATTGCCTTTGGGATCTGCAATATATTTTCAGGAGCTTTCTCATGCTTTGTTGCTACTACTGCTTTGTCTCGCACAGCAGTTCAAGAAAGCACTGGTGGAAAAACCCAGGTAATTCTGAATTAGTATTAAAGACCATCCTACTGCATAGCTATTTCCTGAAATCTCTGTATTACTGACTTTGTAGGTGGCATTTTAAACACAAGGCCAAACAGATAATTAACTTTCTTGATCCCAGTTTTTTACTTTTATGGCACAAAATGAAACAGGTAAGGATGTAGAGGAGTAATTCACCTGATACTTGGCAATAAAGGATAGGAGTAACTTTTTCCTTTTATCTTTTTATAGTGTAATCCTAAGCCTACCTAATAGGAATAAAACAGAGAGATTTGCGTAAAGATGGATAGGATTGCACTGTTAAGTCTTGTTTAGTCGCCCCATGCTTACCTAGGGCACCATTAAATGTGGCTGCTCATAACCTTCCAAACTTGGAGGATTATGGTCACCAAAGGGAAGATGGAAAGAATAGGGAGGCTAGGATTGCATTCATCCAAAACATTCAAATGGGTGATTTTAGCCATCTAAATGTTTGACCCCTCCTTGCAAGAAAGAGAGACTGAGGAATCACTAGCATTCCTGAGGACAGCAACACCTCACTCCTGCCCTCTCCACCCCTTGGAATGCCCTGCTTGGAATGTACCAGATGCAAAGATAGTCTTCTGTCTTGGAGCCCCGATGGCATGGAAAGAACCACACTGGCTGGTGGTGGGGGGTGTCCTTCTGAAGTTGAAGTACCAGCTCTGACCTCGGAAGGTATATCCAAGGGCAGAACTGGGACTCTGAGCTATCCTGTCCTGCTGCCCCTGATATTGTCTGAAAGCTTCAGAATTGAGCCCTTACTTAGGGTGCAATCTGTACAAGTTTAGGCAGCAATAAGGCCTACATAGAAAGGCCAGCTCCTGCAGGGCATTTTCTGTCTAAACTTGCATGGAATTTTGTCCTTACGTAAAACTATAGTTGGTCAAGGTGAGGGCTATTATCTCCAATAATCTGATAATTTTGCCCAGTTGTGCAAAATTGTCCAACTATTGTGACTGTTTTTATTTCCTCAGGATGTGGCAGCCTTTTGCTTTTGAAGAACAGATTGTCTAAGACCACAATACTATATATACACTTGCATATATTGTGTTTTATCTTGCTTATTTACTGTAACTTTTTAACTATGCTATTTTAGTAATGTTATTATTGATACTGTTATTGTGATGGCCACCCAGATTGCATAATGCTAAGAGGCAGCTTTTATACAAATCTCTCTCTCTCTCTCTCTCTCTCTCTCTCTCACACGCACGCACGCACGCACACACACACACACACACACACACATTTAGGATTATGTCCCATATTGCTTTTGCCAAACATCCCCTAAGCTACCTTGAAAGGGTTAGCAGTGGTTATCTGTGAAAGCACCAAGTCCAGAAAGATGAGACAGATGACACAGTTGCCCCACAAATGCAGCTATCAAAAGATGTGAAAAAATCAAATAGCACCTCAAAGCTGACAGAGAAACATGGGGAATAAGCCTCATGTTTACTTAACAATGGCCTGCACAGGAAAAGTTATTGATGGATCCGATCTGTTCTGCTACCAGTACCAGTCCGCAGAATCTTGCCATGTGTACTGACTGCCTCCTTGCACGAGGGCCATCATTATCTATTAAAAAATTGTATTGGCATTAATGGACATCAGCAGGTCACATATCCCCATCAGAGCTTATTTTTACCTGCACTGACTTGTATATCTGAGCCCAGATTGAAAACAGAGAATCTGAGACAGTTGTTCAAAGACTTCAACAAGACCTGGAGAATGCAACTGTGTGTATAATGCAACCTCAGGGCCTTTCAAAGAATAGACTGCAGGAACAACATTGAATGTGGGTGCAGTCTTGTAGAAGTATAACCAGGAGTGTAACCAGGAATCCTCTTAATGTGCATGCGTGAATCTGTGCTATACCTTTGGTACATGCATATGAAAGCTCATTAAAAAAATATCCATAAGTTTTTTTATTACTCCTCTGTGCTTGCCGTAACAGGCTCATTTTCGAGTTTGTCCTTGTGTTTTAAAAAAGGCATAGTCAATATTCAGCCTGCTAAGGGTGTTTAAGCTAAATATTATGCATAAATATATTTAACAGACTATTTCCTTGATAATCTAAATTTGTGTATTTTTCAGATTGCAGGCATAATCTCAGCTGTTATAGTACTGATTGTTATTGTTGCTTTGGGGAAACTGCTAGAGCCTCTGCAAAAGGTATTGTATTACCAAAGCAACTTCATTGGGCTGTAACCAGTACTAGTCTAGCTTAAATCCAATTTCAGTTGGTCTACTCTAAGTAGGCCTAATATTGTATGAGAAAGTCCATAATGATAAAAGCTCAGCACTTCATAAAATTATGTAATATTTTAACCTTGTGCCTGACAAGGAGGACACTTCCTCCTTTTCTCTTCCTGTTCCTTGTCCTTTCTCACACATTTATTTTATTTATTTATTTATTTAGAAAATTTCTATGCTGCCCCATTCGCCGAAGCCTGACATACAAATCTGTATATACTGCCAGGAAGCATCTCCCTTGTTAATGCCACTTTCTCTCTTTGCAGTCTGTGTTGGCAGCTGTGGTCATTGCCAACTTGAAAGGGATGTTCATGCAAGTATGTGATGTCCCTCGTTTGTGGAGGCAGAGCAAGGCAGATGCTGTGAGTACTTAAATGTTTCAGTCATGAACATGAGAATTGTTTATCATATTTGGATCATATTTGGAATTAAACTCTGCCCTGTTCATCCATTGGCCTTTCATGTCACTTAATAATTAATAGAGATTCTAGGTAACCGAAAGAATAATGTGCTGTACAGAAGAAATGCAGCAGCCTACAGTGCTAGACTCCTTGATTTTTAGAGCAGGTCTTTGGCTACTGAAGATCCAAAAGATGGAAATGGCTTTCAAAGTCCAGACAATTCCCTATGGCTTCATAATGCCATTTCTAAACATTCCAGCCATTTCTAAAGTTGCCGTTCAACATAGGCCTCATTCTCATTAAGGGGAGGAAAAAAACAGGCCTAGCTCTCACAGAAGTAAAACAAGACAAGACAAAACCTTCCAGAGTTTGGGTTGTAACACTCAGGTATGGGCTGATATGACTGCACAGCCTCCTCCTTCTTCTTTATGTCCTGTGTGGGGCACATTGGACTGCAAGTGTCTTCCATAATGTTTGATCCACAGCAACAGTTTCTTATCCTTCCATTCAAGGTTGATACTTCCTAGGTCATTCTGGAATGTTTGACACCAGGTCTTTTTTGGTCTTCCTTTTGGCATAGTCTAGTATACAAAAGAAAAAGAAAATTATCCTGGGACATAGAAAACCAGGATGTTAGCAGATGGGTAGCTTAGAATCCTTTCCCTTACCGATTAACTTTCTAAGCAAAAGCCACTTTTTGGTAGGAAGGAACAGGGCCAGCTTTTGGGTTTTTGTGGGCCCTCAGTCGTGGGCCATCTAACCATGCATATGAGCCTCCCTTCCATATGATTGTTGAAGGGCTGCCATAGATCCTCTATTTCTTTTCCTCCCATTCCTCTACCCTATAAAGTCTGCTGTTGTGGGTGAGCTTACCCCACAAACAACAGGAAGAGAGAGGAGGATGCAGTGCCACCCTGATGAAAGAACTTGAAGTGGCAGCACCTCCATCAAGAGGAGCAGCAAGAAGCCACTATTAGGCTGTTGGCAGTTGGCCAGTGATGCTACCTTGTTCTTCCAGGACTGTGAAGGAGACTTCAGTCATATACAGATGTGCAGCATGAAGTGGTGTAGCTCAGAAACACGTTTACCGCCTCAGCAAGAGCTAGGCCATATTCTGCTCTGTGTACTACCAGGTCTAGCCTTTTCTTGCCATTTCTTTTCCAGATGATCTGGGTCTTCACTTGTATAGCATCCATCATTCTGGGACTGGATTTAGGATTACTCGCTGGTCTGGTTTTTGCCCTGCTGACTGTTGTCTTGAGAGTTCAGTTGTAAGTACCCTATAAACAAGGGCTGTTTCTGTAGTTTTATACCCAAGACAAGTAAAATCAATAAACTGTGCTTAAATATTAAAAAAAAAAAAAGATTGATGCAGTGTTGCAGTTTTGCTACTTTGGAAGCATGCAGTGCCACAATTGTGCTGTGTGTGTTTTTAAGTTGTATTAGGAAGGTAAAGGGCAATACACCATATGCAACGTAACCAATTAGGAGTGGGTATGTGTTGCTGAAAATGTCCAGTTAGAAATGAGAACACGTGAGGGAGCAGATAAAACTAAGCCAGAGTAGTTTAAATAGTTTCAGTTCAGTGTAGGCACAGCCATGATACAACAGACCTAGGTCTAAGGGCAGACTCCTAAGGGCAGATTCAATGACTTGATGGCTAGTAGTAAACATTGCTAGTACAGTAGCTTTCCTGGGAACTACAGTCAGGCCTTGGTACACTTTCAGGTGCTCTCTGAGACCACAGTGAAAAATAATAGTGGAAAGTGGTGAAGAGCCAAATATTTTCTTGAAGTTTCTACCACATAATAAAGAGACCATCCTCTTCCCAATTTAAAATAAAAAAGAGCATGCAAACAGCTGAAAACTAACAAACTATCTGATCTCAGAATATCAAGTAGATCGCTTGAGCCACAGTTTAAGTAGTCAGCAGAATCAAAGTAATTCTTCTCTCTGGAAAGATTTTCTGGAGTAACTCACTTAGGCCTGAATGTGAGAAGCTGAGTGTTTGTATTTCCACAAACACAAAATATTGCATATACAAAACTAGGATACTGGCAACACAAGGTATATCCTGACATCCTGGGGTTTTGGTCTTTTTACGATGCACCATTCAAGTCTACAAAAAGCTTTATCGTTTGATTCCGCTACATGCATGAACAGGGAAAAAAGGCTCAAGAAATACATGGGTGTTTGTCCATGCTTTACACATATTTGGTGCACATATTGCCCTAGCACTAAGGAAATGAAAAATTGGCGATCTGCTGCTGAATTTCATTCACTTATACTAGGATAACATCACTTCCACTAGCACTGGGGCAAAGTTGGATACTACCCATAGTTTGTATTGTGGTCATAGAAGGCAAATGTATTGTTGACTATAATTCTGAAGACTTTCCAGTTTTCTGCCTTATTGCTGGCCATAAAACAATGTGGCGGTCCATAAAGAACAGGTATCCCAGAATATTTATCCTCTATACAACTGAATTTCAGAGCCTTTCTACTGCCAAATTTATCCCTTGCCAATTAGCTTTTCCTTCTGTTCTAGTGATTAAGTTCACAGATTAGGTAACTGATTGTAGCTCAGTTAACATTTGTTTGCAACAAATTGTTCTGTATAATGCATTCATTTAACATTTGAATATGGGCTTTGATTGATGGTTTGTTTTGCTCTGCTTTTGTCAGTCCTTCCTGGGGTAGCCTTGGCAGTGTTCCTGGCACAGACCTATACAAGAACATCAAAGAGTACAAAAATGTAAGACTTTTCAACAAGTTAATAATTTAGGCACACAAATGTGTTGTTTTAAGGTTTCTTTCAAAGTTTGTTGAAATGCACTGAATCTGCAAGACAAATGATCTATAGGCTCATTCCTTAGTTTTTTTTTCAGTGTGTTGAGAGGGATAAAGAAGATATGAAGCCAGGATGGAGTTCATTGCAACACGAAACATGCCAGGGGACAATTTCCCCTGTAATCTCTTGGTTCTGATAGCTGGACACATATATGGAGTAGCTACATTTAATTCATATCTGTTTATATTTGCTACATCAACAAATGAACACTTTGCCCTTCTGAATCCCTCTTAGATGAATTCTGTGGCTTTCTGACCAGAGGCATGTACAGACATCATTAAAAAGGGGGAGAAAGGCAGCTGTTTCCCTCTTAGTGTTAGGCCTAGCTCTAACCTTGATCTTGAAGTGGTAGGCTGACAGTTAGTCAAATATAATGCTGGAGAAGTAAAGTCTTGCTGGAGAAGGGTAAGGTGATAGTAAAGCCAAATAAATTACAAACCCAACATTCCAAGAAACAAGTTACTGATGCTTGCTTGGCAGCCATGGGGTATGTGGGGAGTGGCAGCAGTTGAAGCACATATCTTTTACCAATTAAAAAAACCCCAATTATGATTTGATCACCCTAGAAAGAAGGAATTAACTTGGAAGTGGAATGGCTTTGTGTATTCCCTATGCAAGGGGTTGCAGGTGTACCCCCATTTCTTAAAAATAAAAATATAAAATCATCCATGTTCCCTGCCTCTTCAATATGCTGCACTTTCTAGTAAGTCTAGGAGATTGAGTGAGTGGCTGTCACTCAGCCTGGATGCATAGCTGGCTCCTACTCCTTTCTGGTCAGCTTTCAGGCAAGGTTGACCTTGTTACCCAACACTGAGGGAGGGATCTTCAGCTGAAAGAAAAGATAGTTTTAAAAGGAAGTTAAAGGAAGTTAAAAAGGAAAGGGTAGTTAAAAAAGAGTAGCAAGGTATTGGAAAGACTTTGTTTTAGGGGACCAACTGTTGGTACAATAGAGCAGGACAAAAAGCCTTCATATAAAAAATTATAAGTTGAAGATGCCAAGTGGTCAAAGTGAACCTTTCGTTTTATGTGATCTGGCATGACTTAACTGTTTGTATGAATAGGACATATAACCAATGTAATATCCCCTCTCAATGCAGAGCAATCTGGGTACTATAAAGGACTATGTAAAGAAAATTTTATTTTCCTATATACAGTCACTATTTCATTTAGCTTGCTGGTTATTTATTTATTTATTTAAAACATTTCTATGCCGCCCCATTCGCCGAAGCCTCGGGGCGGCTCACAACATAAAATTAAAATATAATACATTCAAAATATAAAACAAATTAACAATATAAAATAAGTCGCCCTGGCCAGATAGATCTCTATAACATACCTATGGTTAGATCTTTATAACATACCTATTATTAACCTAAGCTATTTTTTCAATTTATTATTGATTACTTGAGGTAACACTGATGGTATATTTTTGATTGTATTATTTCACAGATTTTTAAAAGATGGATAAATCAGTCAGTGGCTAAAAAAGATCCAAATGGGAATGGCCTTGGTTCAGCAAGCCAGCATAGTCAAAATGGCAAGAATGCTCATACAGTGCATGCTTATTTTAACTGAAAATGATTTTCATAACAGGTAGTTGAACCAGAAGGTGTGAAGATTCTCAGATTTTCAAGTCCTATTTTTTATGCTAACATTGATGGCTTGAGAAGCAGCCTCAAATCCACTGTGAGTAATCTGTGATGTTTTGGATCTATAATGCAGCATGATGCTCAGGCATTTGGGGAGGCTTTAATTTTGAGGAAGCTGGGCATGACTAGCTGTGGTAGTGTCAAGATATGAGGCTGCCTGGGAAGCACATCTGTGCTTCCTTGAGTACCATGATGGAAATCCTAAAGAATATAAATATTAAGACCATGTAGGATACAGTTTGGATGCCTATGAGCACCCTGTGCAGGGTGAAAGGAATGTAGAGCCAGAGGTCCCCTCTGCTTTCTTCCTTCCATACACAAACCACTGACAACAGATTTCAGCCATCTTTCATATCATAGAGCAGGATGGAAGGAGGATACCTCATATCATGGTGGTGCTTTTTTCCTCCCATCTAACTCCCCAGAATGTTTATTAAACCTTTTCTCCAAAATTGCTTGGGTGGTCTCAGAAAAGCAGCCTTTGTGGTTCTCTCTGCACTGTTTACAGAGTAAGCTGAGAGGGCACTGACATCCTAATGCATTTCTGAGGTTGGAGCTGAGGTTTAGAATAATCCTATGGCTGCTTAGGTACTGTCTAGTATCCATAGAATTGTGCTACCTAACATTTGAGTCCCTTTATTTTGATGGGTTGTGCCTAAGTCATTTTTAATTTTATCATGCCTCAAAAAGAAATGCAGTATCTTAGTCCAATTCTGCTTTCCACAGGTGGGGTTTGATGCCATTCGAGTGTATAACAAGAGGATGAAAGCTCTAAGAAAGATACAGAAGCTAATTAAGAAGGGAAAATTGAAAGCGACAAAGGTAAAGTATCCATTTCCCCTCTCAACTCAATGATTTAAAGGCTTTTTACGAGGAATAAATCAAAAACTAAGTGCTGGTTTTATTTCAAAAGAGATGCATGAAATCTCCGTATCTCTTTAATTTACAATGACATATATGGAAATAAGTGATTATCAGGAATTATTATTCCTATACTCTGTGCTTTTTTTGTAAAAAAAAAAAAAAAAAGGGTGCCGGAACTCACGTCGCCAGCAGTAAGCGCACAGCCACACACACCAATCCCAAGCCGAGCAGCAGCGTCCCAAGCCAAGCGCCCTCACTATCTCACTATCAGATAGCAGACACAAAAGCAGCCTGCAGGCACTATGTTAATGATGTTTGCTGCTGATCTGCTACGATTCAAAATCACTTCGTAAAATCCATTGGAAAAAAAGGTGCCGGAACGCCGTTCCGGTGCATTCTATGACAAAAAAAGCCCTGCCTATACTCATTAGGAAGCAGAGAATCAAAATGGGAGGAAACAGATCAGAACTTCATATATGTCATCAAATACTCTGTGGCTACAGTAATCTATATGAGTGGTTTCTTTTCTTTGTGTATGTAAAGTTGCTTCTATTTGAGGAGACTGACTGTGCTATATGATGTGTCAGAAAAGATTTTTGGGTTACATGAGGGAAATGCTGTATATATTACACACATCTGTGCCTGTGCTGTACTTGAATAGAAAGGCAAAGGAGTTTTGGAAAAACAGATAAAGTGACTTTCTTAGCCAATGCTGAAAGAGTTGGAGAGAAAAATGCAGCTAGACTTCAACAACTATCTGTCAGAGAGAGGTCTTATGATCAGAGTGATAAGCACAATTAACGTTAACAAGTCTCTGTAAATACCCAAAGCTGAGGATTGACCTCAGATAGACCCACTTTTCACCACCAGGTTGTGCAAAGGATTATCACCAACCTCAGAATTGCTGGTACAAGTACGGAATCTTACACAATGATATTTAGATAATTAAGGACACAATCCTATGCACAGCTCCATGTCTTTGATAATAACTATCGTGCTGAACAGACTGTGTATATTTTCTGATTAGAATGGTATCATCAGTGATTCTGGTACTACTAATGAGGCTTTTGAAATTGATGAAGACCCAGAGGATCCTGAAGATCTTGCCATTCCAACTAAAGAAGTGGAAATCCAGGTGGACTGGAATTCAGATCTCCCAGTCAAAGTCAGTGTCCCCAAAGTGCCTCTCCATAGCCTAATTTTTGATTTTGGAGCTGTATCCTTCATGGATGTAGTAGCAGTGAGAGTAATGAAAACGGTAAGAGTCTTTTATTATCTTTGTATTTTTCTATGTATTAGCATTTGATGGAATTAGTCGATTATTCCATAATGCATATGCACAAAAGGAAAAAGTACATATGAAATGCATATCATAATAACCTTGACATTTCTTTCAACACATACTGTATATGCAAACAGCAATTTTGTGAATGGCATATTAAAGTAAATGGCAGGTGTGCTGGTCCTAATCCTGAGTGGTCTCTTGCCTTGTTGTCACAATTCAGATTGGCCCTATCATGTATCTGCTATTTACACTTCTGTTTGCATCAATGAAAAGCCTTACTTCCAGTGCAAAAAGCTGTAGGTCCCTGACCATATATATAGGAACTATAGTGGAGAAGGGAAGGGTTAAAGCCCTGTACCAGAGTCCCAGTCCAGATCAACACTCTCCTACAAATTGCTTGTATTTATTTTATAAAGATCATTCATACAATTGCTAATTACATGAATAGTCTCATGTCTAGTTTGGCCCTAAAAGACTACATCATGGGTAAAGTGAGTCATAATTTGTTGTGGGTTGATTGTAGGCTAGAATGGATTCTTCTCATTTGGCTACTTCTTTTTTAATCTGCCACATTTGTCAATTTATGCAAATTCCACTAAACTAAGTAACTATTTTTATTCTAGAGTAATCCCTGTTCCCTAAAGCAGACTGGCAGTTACACATGCTTAAAGTGAAACCAGTATGTTTAGCTTTTACTGTTTATATTAATTTAGATTTCACTCTTAAATTTGTTTTAAAACTTTAAAATAACAGAATGGTATTGAACAAAATACAAGTAGTGACTTGAATAATTTAATTCTGAAAACAGTCTACCTGTGAAAACTAAGTCCTTGACAATGCATTTAAGATAATCCCGATCCTTTTCTTTTCAGATTGTCAAAGAATTTGAGAGGATTGATGTGAGCGTATACATTGCTTCCCATCTAGGTAAAAGCAAAACTATTCAGTGTTGAAAGTCTGCATTCAGAAATCAAAGTGGTGTTGGGGATTGGGTAGAGTACATGGTCTAACACATGGTAGGGGTCAGAGCCAGGGGTCAGACTACATGGCCCGGGAGACCCCTTCTGGCTTGCTGTGTTTCTGTGTTTCTATGAATGCAGAATCCTTGGCACAGCAGTTCCTAGTAGCTCCAATTACTGAGAGACTCAAGGTGCAATCCTATGGCAGCTAGTCGCAGACTCTGCAATCATGGGATTATTTGAAGTCTCAGAGTCAACCTCTGAGGCTTTGGTATGATGTTCGAGTTGGGACTCCAAATGTAGAGCACCCTCCCTCCATCCTTTTAGCTGCTGCATAAAGAACTGTGCTGACTGCAACTCTGAAGCCATGAAGTCAAGAGATCTGTACCTGGAGAGTCTTCTGTTTTGAAATATTGGGTGGGGGGCGGGGGGACAGGACAACAGAATCCAATGGGGAAGTGGAGGGATTCAGTGAAGACCACCAATGCCGCACTTTCCCCCGTGTCATTATTATTATTATTATTATTATTATTATTATTATTATTATTATTATAACATTTCTATGCCGCCCCTTGCCGAAACCTCGGGGCGGCTTACAACACAATAAAATACATTGAAATACAATAGAACATAATAAATTACCATTAAATACAAAAATACAAAAAATACACTGAGTTACAAATATAAAATTAAAATTATCAGTATAAAATAAGTAAATAAAAATATAGGAGGAGAAAAGAGAAGGAAGAAGAAGTTGCCCTGGCCAGATCATATGTTTTAACAATTAAAATGATGTTTAAATAAAAAGGTCTTTACCTGGCGCCGAAAAACCAGTAACGACGGTGCCAGGCGGACCTCTTTGGGGAGTGAATTCCATAGGTTGGGCGCCACCATAGAGAAAGCCCTTCTCCAAGTACTTACTCTCCTAATTTCTTTCATGGAGGGTTCCCGGAGAAGGGACTCTCCCGCAGATCTCAAAGGGCGGTCGGGCATATACGGACGTAAGCGCTCGTTCAGGTAGCCAGGACCCAAGCCGTTTAGGGCTTTATAGGTCATAATCAACACCTTGAATTGGGCCCGGGCTTCAATGGGAAGCTGTGAAGTTGACGGAGGACTGGAGTCATGTGAGCATAACGCCCCGTCCCCGTCAGCAACCTGGCAGCTCTATTTTGCACCAATTGAAGTGTTTGGACCATCTTCAGGGGAAGCCCCACATAAAGCGCATTACAGAAGTCTAGGCGGGAAGTCACCAGCGTGTGTGTCACCGTCGCCAGGCAGTCTTACTCCAGGTAGGGGCGCAGTTGATTAATCAGCCGAAGCTGAAGGAAGGCGTTCCTCGCCACCGCTGTCACCTGAGCTTCCAAAGAAAGCTCCGGGTCAAGGAGTACTCCTAAGCTGCGGACCTTATCCCTAAGAGGGAGTGTTGCACCATTCAGGACCAGGTCAAATCCACCCTCTCCGAAACCCGATCCGCCAACCAACAGGACCTCCGTCTTGTCTGGGTTGAGTTTCAGTTTATTGGCCCTCATCCATTCCCTTACCTCGGCCAAGCACCGGTTCAGCACAGCCACTGCCTCACCTGGATTAGTGGAAAACGAGAGGTAGAGCTGGGTATCATCAGCGTATTGATGATTCCGCAGCCCACACCTCCTGATGACCTCTCCCAGCGGTTTCATATAGATGTTAAATAGCAGAGGGGATAGAATGGAGCCCTGTGGTACTCCATGGCATAACTGCCATGACGTAGAGACATGGTCCCCCAGCACTACCTTCTGGAATCGACCATTGAGATAGGAGCGGAACCACTGCAAAGCAGTGCCTCCAACCCCCAATCCCGCAAGCCTATCCAGAAGGATACCATGGTCGATGGTATCGAAAGCCGCCGAGAGGTCCAGAAGAACCAACAGGGATGCACTCCCCCTGTCCTTCTCCCTGCACAGGTCATCGTACAGGGCAACCAAGGCAGATTCAGTACTGTACCCGGATCTGAAGCCGGACTGAAAAGGATCCAGATAATCAGTTTCATCCAAGAGTGCTTGGAGTTGTCCCACCACCACTCGCTCCAACACCTTGCCCAGAAACGGGATGTTGGCCACAGGTCTATAGTTAGTGGCCATCTCTGGATCCAGCGACGCTTTCTTCAGGACTGGTCGTATTACCGCCTCCTTTAAAGGGGCAGGCACTCGACCCTCCCTCAGAGAAGCGTTAACCACTTCCAAGATCCAGGTCCCAATCCCGTGCTTGGAGTTATTTATTAACCAAGACGGGCAAGGATCCAATAGGCAAGTGGTGGGACGTACTCATCCAAGCACCTTGTCCACATCATCGGGCCGCAATAATTGAAATTCCTCCAATAATTTTGGACCAGACGGTAGCATTGGCGTCTCCCCAGAGACCTCTGATTCATTAGTGGAGTCCAGCTCGTGACGAATCTGAGCAATTTTCTCTCTGAAATGCCTGGCAAAGTCATCACAGTGGGCCTTTGAGGGTGGCATCGGATCTTCCTTAGGACCCGGGCGAACCAGGCCTTGCACCACTCAAAAGAGCTCCGCCGGATGGCATTGTGAGGAGGCAATGGAAGCGGAAAAAAACTTCTTTTTCACTGCCTTCACCGCCACAGCATAGGCCCGATAGTGGGCTCTCAAGTGTGTTCGGTCAGATTCATCCCGTGATTTCCTCCACCTACGCTCTAGTCGTCTCCCAACCCGCTTCATCGCCCACAATTCAGGTGTATACCAAGGGGAAGAGCAGACTCTGCCCGGTGGGAGAGGGCGCTTGGGAGCGATCGTGTCCACAGCCCTGGTCATCTCTCCGTTCCACAGTTCGACCAGAGCCTCGACAGGAGCACCAGTCTTGTCTGCCGGAAACTCCCCCAGGGCCTTCAGGAATCCATCCGGATCCATCCGGCTCTGGGGGCGGGCCCATACAATCGGGTCCGCACTCTTATAGAGGGGGAGGCCGCTCTCGAGCACAAACCTCACCAGGAGGTGATCTGACCATGACAGGGGAGTCAAACATAAGTTCCTCACCCTCAGGTCATCCTCTTCCTGCCCCGTCGTGAATACCAGGTCCAGAGTGTGTCCACGTTCATGGGTCGGGCCGATGACGTGTTGAGACAGGCCCATGGCCGTCATGGAGGCCATGAATTCCTGAGCCGCCCCGGTCAGTCCAGACTCGGCATGGAGATTGAAGTCCCCCAGGACCAACATCTTGGGGGTCCTCAACACCAGGTCCGAGACGGTCTCTGTCAGCTCAGATAGGGAGACTGCTGGGCAGAAGGGTGCACGGTACACCATTTATAATAAAAGTGAATCCAGTGCCAAGCTGCTTTTTACATCTTGAAGCAAAACACAGGTTATTATATCACTATTGAATGTTTTGCTCTATGGGGCAAATAGCTACTGGGCGGGTGATTTTAATTCGGATAATGGCATGATTGGGAGGCTTAACCACCCTTTCTAGTGCCATAGCTCCCAGTAGTTTAACAACAGTAGTAGATCAATTACAGATGTAACCATACCTGTAATTAATATTGTCAAAAACAGCAAGAGTCCAACTATAGATTACTCAACCTCAGGCCTATTTGCACCTTCTGTCTTGTTTTTTTTTTTCAGGATTAGTAAGTTATCAACAGTTCTCTGCGAAGTCAAGTGGTAATTTTCTTGCTGTAGCATTTGTCATCCATTCTTGATGGTCAAGGCATAGAAACATCCACTTGGCACCAATATACTCGATGGTGTAAATGAGTTACCTCTACATTTGTGTGAATGCGATCACAATGAACATGTAGTTGTCACCTCATTAACTTGTACCTGACGAAATGTACAGTGGAAGTAGAACAACAAATAATGGGGGAGATGATGAGGACAAAACTAGGATGGCGAGATGTCTGTGAAAGCTATTATTTCTAATTTTAAGCAATACTTGTTGGTTATTGGCAACTAATTTTCTGCTTATTTTTTTTGACTGTGACTGTAAATTTTGGTTGACTGTAGGAAATACTCATTTTGTGCATGAAGTGATGTTTTAGTAGGGATATGTAAATTGCTGGACATATACTTTCCTTTTAAAGTGTTTTTTTTACAACGCTATTTTTCAATATTTTTTATCTTCAGACCATATTATCAAAACACTGGACCACTGTGCTTTTTTTGATGATAATATTCAGAAAGAGAAGTTTTTCCTGACTATCCATGATGCTGTACTCCATATACAGAATCAGGCCATGCACAGAGACATCCAGGACCCTATATTTGAAAAGGTAGGAACAAAATATAATGTTGTTTTCTTTAATATAGATAACCTGGTTTGAAGTCTAACATTTTTGAGCAGAGTTTCACTTATGGAACAGGGATGTTTTGCCTCTTGTTGCCATTGGACACCCTGGTATCCCACTAAAGCAATTTCTTCTGATTCAGAACTTCTACATAAACTTCTGTATTTAAGGCTGCAATCCTACAGTTGCTTTTTTGGGAGTAAAACCCATTGAATTCAATGGTACTTACATTTAAGTAGACAGGCATAGGATTGTGCATTTTAGAAGAGGCCATCACCTGGTATCTTGCCACAAAAATAGATGAGTATTTAGTACAAAAGCTTCACTGTGTGCATTTGCATTTGCAAGAATTGTCAGAAAAGACTATACCCTATACTGTGCATACAGTAATCAAACAAGAGAGGAAGGCACACATGTAAAACAAGAAGAAAAGAGGGAAAAATAAAAAGCCTTAGGTACCAGTGGAAAATGGTTTACTGCTGCCCTACACATCCAGAAAATATTATCTAGGGGCCAAAATGCAACCCTAAAATGTTTTTCACCATGTACATAATATCAACATATTAAAGAAGGAGCTGAAAAAATAATACTGCACTGATGCAAATACCATTGCTTTTATCAGAGTTAGAATTTAATACTAAATGATTAAATCACCTGTCTGTCCTTTGGATTTGAAAACACAAATTATGTTTATCATAATAGAACACCATGAACTGCTTTATGATACAATACCAATCTGTACCATCATAACAACTCTTAATCCTGTGCTTAAGATTTCACTGATGCAGGAGTCAAAGGAACTAGCAGAATTCACAGAGACAAACCAGATTGAAGAGCTTGATGTTCAGGAAGAGGTATGCTTTAATATACTGCATTTTTTATTTTCCATCCTTTTTTCATGTAAAATTGTACAGGGCCTTTTAAGCAAACAGACTAAATGACCCTGGATTCCTTGGCAGTTCTAACAGTCAGGACTTTCCAACCTCCCAGAAGCTTGTTACCCACACAGTACAGTTTAGTTAAAGGAAATTAGTTCTGCCTCATAGCTTCTGAGGAATGGATCCTTTCTGTCAGAGGCCATGATCCTCCAGAAACTCCTGTGAATCTTTTACTCACTTTAGCATGCGTAAGAATCTGTTACTCACTTTAGCATGGAGCTGATTGTGGAGAAGTTCCCAGATACTGTTCTAGAGAAGGGCCTATCTACACAGTTACAGGCTTAACAAGTTTTGACACAGATCTCTAACAGAATTGGACACAATTTCATGAAATTGTATTTCCAAGGATTCTATGGGAAAATAATGCCAGTTAAATTGCTTAATGATTGATAGATGTTTGTGATATTTGCCTCCTGTATGAAGAGTTAACTGCAAGAGTTTTGGAAAAAGCTTAAATATCTGAGAAATAATTTTTCTCCATTCTCCTTCCAACTTTTCTTACCAGGCTATGCGCAGGCTTGCTTCATGAGAACTGTTCATCATATCTGTGAACTCTGTGGCAGACACATACCAATATTTAAGTGGCTTTATTACTGGGACAATGTACTTTGCACTAGAAGAAAACACTCATTGTATAGTACAGACTCTAGTTTTTCTCTTTGTGTATTCTCCTTGATTAAATTTATTTGATAAACCTGTTCAAAATCAAGTTATTTTGGAAATGGATAGCAAGATATCCCTAACTGTAGCATAACTGGATATTAGCTTCCACATGTGGACACATGCAGAACTGTATTTATGTTGCAGTGTTATTCCAAACCAAAGTGAAGCAAGAACTTGGTATGAACTGGAAAGATAGTTTAGACTCTGTATGATACCAAGCAGAATGTGATTTCAGCTCTCAGGGGTACCTCTAGGTGTTACTGCCACAAAGGCACCACTATTTATGACTAATAAATAATGCAATCATACTAACAAATTTGTGTCCTGGAGTGAAAAATTGGTCTCTTTGTTGTTCACAAAAATGCAAGGGATTCAGTTCACAAATTATTCATTATAGAACAAAAGAACTGAAGTCTAGATAATTAGGTTAGAGTGGCTCAGTCTCAGCTGACATCCAAATTCCTGATTTTCTTGTAGATAACCAGCCCTTTTGGAAAGTTTAACTAACTAAAATCCAAAGTAAAGACAGTTGTATCCTATTTTACACTATTGAGGCACATTCCTCGCTCCCATGGGTCAATGTATTTTTGTTTCTTATGTACTGAATCAGGGCAATCAATAGCTGAGTTGAAAGGGCAAGCCGGAGGCCAAGTCTGACTGCTATTACCAGCCCCACCTGCTTCATTCCCACGTATGCCACAAAGTCCTGCTACCTGAGACATATGTGGCACTGAAGCTTTAGATTGTTAGTCAACACTCCCTCTTCATCATTTGTTAGTATAAATGGAAGTTATTTGGGCAAATAGCACATATTTGCTGACTGTGCTGTATCTGCGGTGAAATACTACTTCCAAATGGTAGCACAATCTTAAAAATTGCTGTGCCAGCAATAAGCACTTAGGATGGCATATATTGCACATAGCACCATCATAACCCATGATGTTACATTAGTATGGTCAATTAAACATTAAAATTTTGGATGTTGATTTATACAGCTAGCAAATAATAATAGAATGTAAACAAAACAGTAACTAAGCACCAGTTGTACTAGCAGCATGAAACCTGGGTAAATGAGTAGAGTTTGCATCCGCTATTGGTTTGAGAACTGAAATCAGTTTTCTTAGGACACCTATCATTTCTGCACCTGATTGAATGTGTCAGGTTTACACTAACAAGTGCCTTATTACACAAAACATATTTTAATGAATGCACCTGCTAGTAAATCATTAGTAGAATAAATTAACAAAAAGTAAATATCTGTTCTGTTCGTATTTTCTCAATAGCTATGCAATATCAACATTTATAAAATAAAGACCCATAGGTTTTACAAAATCCATTCTGAGCTTCTTTTTCTTGTCTTCTATTTTCTTTTTCCCCTAATAAATTTATTGGCTTTTACTGATTTAGTAGAATATTTTCCTTCATAGAAATGTGTCTGAGGCATGTCATCTTTCCTAAATAGTCCAGAGATCACTGTGTACAAAAAGTGATCATATGCAGCTATTACGGTCTGTGGAAAACCTTGCATGGCCGCAGACATTAGAGACAAATATGCACTGAGAGACAGATGTAATATATACACCTCAACATAGAGATGAATCTGACAATTTTGCCAACTGCCGTAGTCATTCAGTTTGCTGTATGTAACATCCACTGCCAACACAGAGGTCACATTCCTGGATCTTCCTTTCCTCCATGGTGCATATACAACTATTATGTATGTCCAACTCTCCCAACTAAGCACACTGGAGAGCACCAGGGTGCTCATTTAGTATGTCCCACTGGTTTCATCATACACCATTTTCCTAAGGGCATGTGTTTAGAACTGAGGTACAAGATGCACAGTTTTCATTTTATTCTACTCTCATAAAATTAGAGGAAAAGGAAAAGTCATACAAGGGAAGATATAATTTAAGTTTGCAGTGCTATACAGTTTCCTGGGAATAATTACCATTGAAGTCAGTGGACTTATCTGGAGTAGACATATATAGGATTGCACTGGAAAAGCTGGTGAACACAGTGTTCACCAGCAGGTAAGAGCCATGTATTTATTTATTCATATTTATTGGTAACATATGAACACAAGCTTTTGTTCTCAGTTTATTATGCATTTTTTCTGTTCAGATGTTCTTTGACAAATGCATTTTGTCATTTCTGCAATAGAATATAGCCAAAGGAATAAAACAATTCTACACCAACATTGTTTGGTACCATGTAGAAAAAGAACAGTGGAAAGGCATATATAAACTTTTTGATTTTATATGAAGCTATCTGGTCTTTTGTCTTATGAAAATAAGAAAAAGGTTGACTTTTGACATAATAAAGATATTGCTTTTTCCTATAAGTTTTGTAAATATGACTATCGAAAATGTGTATTTATGAAGGGGTTTTAACTTAAGGAATTTGGATTTATTTCTGCTTGCTTCCTTTCTGTACTGAATAAACACATACATTCTCTTCTCAGGCTCCCTCTTTTTTTTCGCCTAACCAATTACTTAGACATTTTGGTCACAAAATATGGTCCTTGTAAAGAAACTAATTCAAACTCCCTATGGGCAGGGGATGGTTATGTATTTTAATCATTATGTAGTTTAGCTTTGAAAAAAGGGGAGTAAGGAGAGAAATAATAAAGATGTTTAAAATTATGCATGATGTGGAAAAAGTGGAGAGGGAGACCTTTTTCTCCCTTTCCCATAATACTAGAACCCAGGGTCATTCCATGAAGGTGATTTGTGCAAGATAAAAGGCAAATACAGATAGATATGAAGAAGTACTTCTTCATCCAAAATATAAACTATATAAACTTACTGCCAAAGGAAAAGGTGAGGGTTAGGGTTGGCTGGATGGCTTTAAAAGGTTTGGACAAATTCATGGAGGAGGAGGTTATGAGTGGCTACTAGCCTTCTTGGCTATGTGCTACCATCTTTTCCAGAGGTGACATGCCTGCATACACCAGTTGCGGAGGAGCTTGGGCAGGAGGAGGTCTTGTATCTCCCCTGCTTGAGGGATCACTGGACAGTTGGTTTGTCACAATGTGAACAGAGTGCTGGACTGGATGGACCACTGGTCTGATACTGCATGGCTTTTCTTATGTATCCCTAATACATTTGCCACATACAATAGATAATATGTTACCCAAAGATAACCCATATTAACAATATTAAACATCCCTTGGCTTCCAAAGTGATTTTGTAAATGATGTTTTGCTTGTTTGTTAATTGTTTCATAAAAATACATTTCCTTAGTAACATGCAAAATATCAAGTATATAAAACAAAATTAAAATCAATACATCCAGAATATAATGATAAATATAACAAATGTCCCAGTCTATTTTATCAATCTGACCCAAATGTGAATGTTTTGTAAACGGTCTCTGACCAAAAATCCCATTGGGAACTCTCCAGCTGGTTCCCTAGCAAAGTCACAATTCTTAGAATTTCTTTAAACCTAGCAGTACCACCCCCCACCCAGCTATAGGGTCACTTAATTAGGAAGAAGGAAATATTTATTAATCTATAAGAAACAGGCATCTTGGATACACCATCAAATTGTGGTTTGAAAGCTTAAAGAAGCATGGGAAGGTAAGAAGCTTTCACTCAGAAGGCTGCAGCTTCTGCTTAGTATGAACTACAGAAGGAAAATTAACCTCTTACTAAAAATGACCAGCATGTGAGGATACTAACATATAGCTGAAACACCATCCCCTCACCGAGAGGCAAAGATTGCCATAAAGCATTATTTGCAAATTAATCTGCTGATTTACTACCCACTAAACTGACATGAACATGTACTCAACAAAAAACACAAATTCCCATAATGCAAAGTACTGCATTAAAAGACCAAATCTCATTTACTAACTCATTCTTAAAGTTACTCTATCAGCTTGAAGAGCCAACAATCCTTCAGGGGGAACTGAAAGAATCAAAATATTGTCAGGTCTCCATTCCTAATTCACATGAGTGCTACTGAAATGGCCATCAACTCTGCTGCCATAATTGATAGCCCATTAGACAAACACAAACCTTTTTGAATTCCAAAATGATGGATAAAATAGATTGAATATCGCTGGAGACATCTGTACATACCATACAACAAATACTCCAATGGGAGGAAATATATTCTAACACCAAATCTCATATAGCTGAGATGACAGATCATTGGGATGCTAACTTCCTAATGCTCATATCCAACAAAGGGTGAATTCAAAGCCAACAGTAACAATGATAAATAATCTTCCACACAAACAGGCACCAAGCTTGCACCACATGTGGAGAACAATGTTTCACCTTCTCAAGTGCTTCAAATTCCCAAAATTAATCACAAGCACAAAGGGCCTTCCTACAAACCACCAAACTTTTACCATTACAAAATCTGGGAATTCCTGTCTTAGATCGCATGGCCATTCTCCACAAACTTCTTGCAAACTGCACTAGGAGTAGACATAAAAATTCTATGAATTTCATAGAATCATAGAATAGTGGAGTTGTAAGGGGCCAGAAGGTTATTGGGTCCATCTCCCTGCTATTGCAAGGCACTAAGTTACACTATCCCATTTATTCTCAAAGCCACAGTTCTGCAGAATGTGAAGCAGAAGCAACAAAACAGAGCCAGATGTATAGGCCTGACATTCATAATTCAACAAAGTCACAAATGAATATCAAAAGAGACTGCCTATCTGCCCCCCACCATACAGTTCCAGAACTAGTCTTCAATATGTTTACTCTAATTTTATACTTCCAAATCACAGAAGTAAAAAGTGCTTTCCAGAGTAATTTACTATCAAATGGATGTACAAATCAATAGGTATAACTTTTATAGGTAAAATTATGCAGTCATTCACAATCGCTAAGCCAGAAGAAGAAATTTCAAGAAATAGCTCAGCTTTCTTGAAAACAGCATGGGAGTCTCCTTGAAATTTAGCTGAAATTAACCAGGCACCATTCCAAAGAGGGTCAGATGACACTTTAGAGACAACAGCAGCTCCAACAAAAGGCAATTCACACCCCTCCCCACTTTATCTCCAGAATAGCACCCCATCTTCTCTCCAGAGACACCTCCTCTCCTCCCTCAAAACATTTTCTTTCTGCTTTGATATGCAGGCGGGAAAGGCTGGAAAGTGTTGACTGTGTTATGTGTAACTCTTTAATGGTCAGTGTTTAAAAGGGCCAACCAAGGACTGCAACCCTACCTATAGTTTTATTCAAAGAATATTGAAAGTCCCAATATATTTCCCACTTCCAGTTTATGCAGAGCCATAGTAAGTCAAGATCAGTAACTGAAGAGATCAATTTTGAAACCACAAAGTGCAGTCATCTGTATGCTGATATTGTGGTACAGTGGTTAAGATCATAGGACCGGGACTCAAGCGATCTGAGTTCTAGTTCCTGCTCAGCTATGGAGCCAACTAGGTGTCTTTGGGCCAGCCACAGACATTCAGGCTCACCTACCTCACAGGGTTGTTGTTGTGGGAATAAGATTGAAAGTAGGAGGAAGAAACTGGTGTAATCCGCTTTGAGTTTTTTTTTTTTTAAGGCGGGATATACATCAAATAAATAAACCTACATATAAATTAATAGCAATCTAGTATTCGGAGTGTCATAAAATTATAATCTTCAGCATGCAGAAAGATTTGGAGCCATGCCTTTAGTAAAGGCAAGTATGCCTCTATTTTCCAAAATAAGACCAGCCTAAGATTTTCTCAAACTAATGACCTACAGTAGAGTTGGAGAGCAACTCGCGGTATCTTCCAGCCATCTATAGAAGGCGCATGAGGGATTCCGGTAGTTGTCGCTCGTCTGGAGTGAACCAAACTGGGGAACAGTGCCCTAGACCTAAGGACTTTTAGACCCTGATATGAAAATTTCAGTGACTTTAAGCCACGCTATTTTGAGATCGAGAAAAATGCACCATTAATAACTCTGCAGAAGAAAGAACTCTAGTTCCCTGACCAGGAACTTTGTTTTTACACCAGCGGTTAACTATTGGCTGTCTTGCTTCATCCCCCCCACCTGCGGGAGGTTTCCTGCAATTCTATTTGACTGAGCCAATCCAGTGATTGGCTGAACAGAAGAGTCCTCTATATAGAGATAGAAAGAATTAGACTGACACATAGACGGAAAATCAGTAATAGTTGGAAGTCGCCATTGGCCCAAATTCTCTATGACTTCAGAGCAGTGTTGCTGTCTTTCTTTCGACATTTCTAGGGAGAAAATCCCACGTTGGTGTGTAAGGGCTGAGATGCTACATGTAAAAATGGAGAGAAAGAGAGTGTTCCCGCCCGCCCGACCCGTTTAAGCTCTTTGGTATCTCTATGGTTATTCTTTGACACCTGCCTGAAAGAGAGGCAAACAACACCGTCGCCGACTTAGTGCGTCACCGCGGAGTCCTTCCACCTCTGCCAGCATGGAAGGAAAAGGAGATGCTACCGGTACTGGGGCGGCAACTGCAGCCTCTCCGGAACCGGCAATTGGGGAGTTACTCGCAGATGGTGAGGGAAGATTTTAGGGAGCGAAGGAACGGAATGGGGCAGGCTCGGGGTGGGAGCACAATCCTAACAATGTTTATTCAGAAACGAGTCTCGCTGCATTCAATGCACTTAACTCCCTGCTAAGTATATTTTAGGGTTGCAGCCAGTGTGGTGCGTAGCTGCCGCGGAGAGTCAGAGCAAGAGCTGCTTTTGCAATTTCTCTTTCTCCGTTCTGCATGTGAATGGTCGCCCCTGAGGAGAGCTGTTTTTCCTTTAACCCTCTCCGGAGTTAAACAGTCAGTGGTTTCCTTGAGGGTTCGTTTCCGTGGATTATAGTGTTGATGGGGTGAACCAGGGAGGCTCTGTGACTCTCCCCTGGTGCTTGTAAGGGCCAGAAATGCTTCCTCTTCTCTTGGTAGGTGAGCACTGTGGCTGTAAGTGCTGACCTCTTCGGTTCCTGCCACTTAAGAAAGTTAGAACTGCTGATCTAAGTGACAGGCAGCCTAAGGAATGGCTTGTTCTTTGGGCTTGTTTCTGCACAGAGCAACATTAGAAATCACCCTTGAATGGATGAAAGGAGGAAGGCAATGAACTGAAACCTTTATATTTTGTGTTGCTTTCAGAATGCTATGCAGACTTTTTACGGGAAGACTTTGATGTAAAGGCCTACACCTCACAATCTATTCATCAAGCTGTTATAGCTGAACAGTTAGCAAAGCTTGCTCAAGGGATCAGTCAGCTGGATAAAGAGCTTCATGTGCAAGTAAGTGCCAGCCATACTGCCTGTGTCTACATAAAGGTAGTTGAGATATCTGAAATTACACACTGTTTGCTTTTAAACTTGCTCAACAAGGAACTTACTCCTACCTGGGAAGAGCTTTCTACTAGCATATTTATTTATGGAAAATGCTTTCCTAAACTATGACTGTCACATAAAGTCCCTCAACAAACTGGCGTAGCCAAGCTTATATTCATTCCTATGTTCATTTCAAAATGTCAGTATTAATGTTTTCCAGAACCTACAATATAAATGTATTGGGATGTGTGCAACATGTGCATATAGTTGAACTAAAGAAGCTCAACATTAAGTAAGAAGTTATGTCATGAATTCTGTTACCTGTTGGGTGGCATGGATAGTGATATGAGTTTCATTTATGTAAATTGAGATAAACCAGAACATCAATTATTCTGCTTAAATTTATGGGTTTCAGAGCTAGCTTACTGTATTGGGCAGTCATAATTTTTCCAAGAAGCATAATTATATGAATGCAATGTATAAATATGTAGGCTTTTCTGGATTTTAGGCACAGTATGGGAACCCAGAACTAGGACTGAAAGTAGAAATTATCTGATTATAACTTTATGCACAATATGTAGTGCACAAACCAACTATATTTGCATGTTATTAATATTGTTCTTATAGGAATGCATTTTTCCCTTTTACTTCTATGTAAGTGGTTGGAATGTAGTGAAAGAATAGCCAGGCCCTAATATAAGCATTTAATATACATTTCGGTCCCAATGGAAAGAGATAGTAAGAAGTGCAGCAGTTATAGGACCATCACATTAATGTGTCATGCAAGCAAAGTGATGCTCAAGGTGTTACAACAAAGAATGTTACCCAAATGCCTGATGTACAAGCTGGATACTGAAAAGAAAGAGGCACTTGAGATCATGTTGCTAGCATATATTGGCTACTGGAACACACGAAAGACTACAGCAAAGCTTTTGATTGTCTGAATCATGAGAAGCTATGGAGAAATGAGTATGTCTTAGCACTGGATCATCCTGATGAGTAACCTCTATGGTGGACAAGAATATGTCCTACTGTTAAGATGGAATATTAGAAACAGAATGGTTTCTTACATGCAAAGACATTGGACAAGGGTGTTTTTATGTCCCTATCTGTTCAAGTTGCATGTGGAACATATCATGAGGAAATATGGATTAGGATCAGAGGAAGTAGTTACTACAGAAGAACTTTTATAACATTGAGAAAATTGAAATTGTGGAAGATTGTGCATACCTTGGCTCAGTCATCAATTCAAATAGAGATTGCAGCCAAATATTAGAAGACTGAGACTTGGAACAGCAGCAATGAAGGAACTAGAAAGGACCATCCAATGTAATTGGAGAGCAAGGCCAAGCTCATACACACTATTGTATTTCCAATAACTAAATATGGCTGTGAAGAGTGGGCAGTGATGAAAAATGGCAGGAAGAAAATGAATGCATTCAAAACATGGTGCTGGAGAAAAGCTTTGTGAATACCCTAGAGCAGTGATGGTGAACCTTTTAGAGACCGGGTGTCCAAACTGCAATCCAGAACCGGCTTATTTATCACAAAGTGCCAACACTGCAATAAAACCCAAATACTGAGGTTTTAGTTTAGAAAAAATAACTCTGACATCTTTTGTCTTAAAAATGTGATAACAGCGCCTTCAATGATACAAACAGCTTTTTATTGAAAGGTAAAAGTTTGCTTTTGGCCTGCTCTGAAAGAGACATATGAGTGCATTTCCTACCTCGTGGGGTTTCTGCTAAAATCGCAGCCAGTCCAAGCAAATCCCTGGCAGCACACTGACCGGCCATGCGAAAGCTTAGACAAGTTGTGGCTAATGAGTTGCCATTCGTGACATCATCGCCTGGCACAGCTACTCCTTTCCGAACATTCACATGGCCCTTATGTGCACTGTTACCTGATGCTTAGCCGCTGGGGAGATGCTGGGGTGACTTGGCTTGTGTGCTGACAGAGAGGGCTCTTCATGCCCACTGCGACACTCGTGCCATAGGTTCGCCATCACTGCCCTAGACTGATAGAAAGGCAACAAGCTCCTATATCAAATCCTGCCAGAATTTTCCCTGGAAGCAAATGTGATAAAATGAGCTATCATAATGTGAGCACATCATGAGAAGGCAAGGCTTACTGGAGAAGCCAATCATGCAAGAGAAAGTAAAAGGCAGAAGAAGATGAGGAAGGACAAAAATGAGATGTATCAATTTCATAAAGGAAGCCACAGCATTGAGTATACAAGAGCTAAGCAGAGCTGTCAAGGACAGGACGTTTTGCAGGACATTCATTCATAGGGTTACCATAAGTTAGGAGATGACATGGCTCAAGTTAGGATCATATAAATGTGTTTTGGAATTGTGGAGAATCTGGTATCATAGCTTATATAGTGTTTGAAGCAAGGAGAGAGAATTCAGTATTGGCTGGAACCACTATATAGGGGAAAGGAGTGGAGCTTCTTAAATATTTACCAGGTAAATTTGAAAAAGCAAAAATTATTAGCCTGTTGAAGAAATTGTGTATTCAATAGGGGGATTGAATGTCTTTATAGTTTTCACACAGGGATTTCAACCCAGAGACCTGGTCCAGCCTGGGTAACTACTTTATTTTAGACTTGAGGATACTTAAGAAGAAAGAAAACCATGTCTGTAAAATATAATCTATGGTTTATTGAATACAAAGGTGAAATATTAATGCAAAATATAAACATGTGAAAGAAAGTGTACGGTTTACTTCTCTGTGACTGTATTATTTCTCTGAATGGGCCAGGACATTATTTCTCTGAATGCTGTATGATCAAACAGTGATTTTGCTTACTAGTCAGAGTTGGGTGCGTCTGGTCAAGAATGAAAGTCCCCAACCAGTAGGAGGGTGTGCTATTTACTTTCTATCAGCTGGATCATCTCTGCTTGAAAAATGCCAATATAATGAAAAGCCCAGCTCTGTGTTCAAGAAGCCGAGTTTGTTTGTCAGTTACTCAGTGTGACTGTGTGCACAAACAGTAGCAGCTTGGGTACTCTCCTCCCAACACTTCCAGTGTATCCAATTTAAGCTGACCAAAGTTTCTTGTTCTTTGTCACACCTTCTAAGGCAGCCATTCTGCACTGGCATCCAGGACAGTTTCTCAGATTGCCAAATATGTCCACAACCCAGAAAGAGGTCCTTTCCCTGCTTTAGACTAATCAGGGTTCTTGTCGTTTTCCTCTCCAACCCCATAGTTCTGGTTATTTTCGTTATAACGGGAAGCAACTCCTTTTTCTCCTCAGTTCCATATGGATATGCCAGAAGAAGAGCAGAGAGTGCATCAGGTTGAATCCTGTAGCTGCTCATGCACTTAAACACTAAACTTGCTTTGTAGTTTCACTTGAGTTGGGTTACTATCTGCCCAATATTTATGTATTAATTTCTGTATCATTCAATAGCCAAAGCTCTCTGGGCAGATTATAAAAATTAAAACTAGGTATCCAAAGCTTAGGCCAGAATCAGGATTTCTTACACTTGTTAGGCTTCTTTCCCCTGCTTTGTGTTGGCCAGGGAGTGAGCTGAGCCAAGATCAAATCCGTGAACACTCAGGAATGCTAGCAGCCTCTTTGCACAAAGTGCGTAATTCTTTGTGCAAAGTATGCAAAAGCTGTAGGATTCACGTGCAGAAGCCAAACTGGGCTTGCACAGCAGCTGTGGGTGGCAGGTGCTCAAGCCTTTCTCACAGACTTGTGAATACTCCATGTGAGACAGACTTAGGGCAGAGATAAAGTGGCCAGAATCTGGGGAGCCGCGCTGAGGAAATCCAATGGATTCCTGCCCCCAAGTTGGATTTTTCACATGTCGCTAATTAAAACCATAAAATAAAGCATGATAAAAATATAGTATGAAACTTTGAAAAGTTTAAAACTACACCATAAAACCAAGCTAAAAAGTTGTGGAGGTTTAAAAAGGTAATTGCAGATTGAAAAATAGCAAACGGAATCCCTTAATTGCTTAGACTTCAACTGATACCAAAAAGACACTAGTGTAGGTACCAGGCAAATTTTTCTGGGGAGCACATTCCTTCCCCATGGTGCCAGCACTGAAAAGGCCCCCTTCTTAGTATTAATTTATTTATTAATAGCTTTTCTATCCTGTCCCCTACAAACAAATTACCACTTACCTCATTTCGTTTGGTGAGCCTCTGAAGATGATTCCTAATAGAGGTTAGGAGGCATGGTCCAAGTCCTGCAAACCCAAGGATAGTTTGAATGCATGTTTCTCAGGCAGATTTCATACTACTTAGCAAATCAGTTTTTGTTTTGAATTAGCTTTTCGATGTTGATTAATAATTTCATTTTATAGGTGGTTGCGAGGCATGAGGATTTGCTGGCACAAGCAACTGGCATAGAATCTTTGGAAGGTAAGTATGTTTTATACTTTATAAAATTAATGAATAATGACATGTCTGCTGGTATGCTTAGGAATGGACTTTCCAAAAGGTGTGTGTGGGAATGCGACCTTCAGTCAGGATCCCAAAAGCAGCCTTCTCCAGCTTTTTAGTTGTTTTGGACTTCAACTCCTATCAATATCTGCCAACCTGGCCAGTGATTAGGAATTTACTTTAGGTTTGCTTTTTTCAGGGGTTTTTACTTTAGGTTTGCTTTTTTCTTTAGGTTTGCTTTTTTCAGGGCTTTTTTTTTTTTGTCATAGAATGCACCGGAACGGTGTTCTGGCACCTTTTTTTTGACAGATTTTCCATGTGATTGTGAATCGCCCTGTCAGGCGTAGCAGGTTGGCAGCAAAAAGCATTAAAATAGTGCCTGCGGGCTGCATGTGTGTCCGCTCTGCTTGTGAGAGTGCTGCTTGGCTCGGGATGCTGCTCAGCTTGGGATCGGTCATGTGGTTGCGCACTGAGCGCTTACTGCCGGCGGCGACCATTATGTTAATGTGTGTGTAGAGTGACTGACTACGTGCGAAAGGTAAATAAGTTCTTTATTTCAAAAAAAGTTGATGAATTGAAAATCTTTTTTAGTGTGACCCCAAGAGGTGAGTTCCGGCACCTTTTTTTTTTTTTTTTTTACAAAAAAAGCACTGGCTTTTTTGATGAATAACACAGATTTGCCAGTATGCCAAATATGGTCAGATTTCATACATAGCTAAGTCTCCTGTAATTGAGGAATGTATTTATTAATCAATTAAGATAACAAAGATCCCTTTGCCACTTTCATGAAAGAGTTTATGTTGTTTCCAGTATTTTGTGATTAAAATCTGAGCATTTCTTAACATGGTTCCAGTTGTCTTTTACTGATTTTTTTCTAATTGCATTCTTAGTGTTATCTTGAAATACATCTTTTATATTTCTGTACATGGAAAACTGGCTTCTAGTTTATTATAACTTGCAGTTAGAAATAACAGCACTGTATGTTATTCTGATCTTAAACTGAATGATCTTAAACTGTGCAATAAAACAAGTCAAACTTTTTAAAACTCTTCTTTTAAAATTCTGTAGACTAGCTAAAGACACAATCCTAGTGTGATGTCCATGAGCCCCAGAACTCAGAAGTTTCCAGGCATCCTATGCATTCTGTGCCCCCCAGTCTTTCCACCCTGCATGCAGAAATCAGCCACTCATCTGAGAAACTCAACTGAATACCTGATCCCATTAATCCTTGTTGCTGTAGTTTATATTCCACACTTCTTTCAAGAACATACACATATGATTGCTAGTCTTTGTGCAATGATGAAAAGATGAATATTCTTTTACATTTAGTGAACTTAGTGAGATTTATTACTTTTTCTTTAAAGAAGGCCTTTATATTACAACCCTTTTTAAAACAACTCTCCTAAGTTAGAGATGTAATTTGCTATGCAGCATAGAGAGCTACAGTTTGATCAACACAAGTCCAAATCCATCTTGAGTGCACAGAACTTGCTGAGCACTTCTTTGCATACCTGCCTTCATAATAAAGGCTGCAAATAATATTGGATTCTGGCAGGGAACACACTGACGGAAAGAACTTGGTTCACCAATAATTCAGATAAATTATTATCCACTTGTTATAATAAGCCATGGTTATATTTAGATACCGCAAAATGGGAAGACCTTGATATACTCTTTGAACTGCTCTGTAGGACACTCATGGTCCCTCCTTGTTTGGCACCAGGAAGATTGCAAATATTTTTGCCAGAACCCAAAGCCACATTCCTTATAATGGACTCCTGAAAACCACATTTATTTATTTATTTATTTATTTAAAACATTTTTATGCCGCCCCCATCGCAACAAAGCCTCGGGGCAGCTCACAGCAAGAACAAAATTATACAATAAAAATATTAAAACCCAGTGCATCTCGGCTTAAAAGATTTAAAATCCTATAAATAACCAATAAATTAACACTTAAAATTTAAGTTTTAAATAAAAAGGTCTTCACCTGGCGCCGAAAAACAAATAACGACGGCACCAGGCGGACCTCTCTGGGGAGTGCATTCCATAGGTGGGGCGCCACCACAGAGAAGGCCCTCCTCCGGGTACTCACCCTGCTAATATTCACAGAGGGTTCCCGGAGAAGGGCATCTGTTGCTGATCTCAAGAGACAGGAGGGCATATATGGACGCAAACGTTCCTTTAGATACTCATAAGAAACTGTTGGTGTTTTTAATGGCATAATTCCAGTAAGCAAGTTAATGTTGTTACCCATTATGAATCTATCTAGCAGTGTACTTTCAGATTGTAGTGTACTTTCTTAAATTGCCAGCAGGTGGGGCTGTTTGTAGACAATTTTCTACAGATAGCTTCTGGCTAACTGGGTGTGTTGTTTACATAGAAAGCAACTGACAGGAATGTCAGATGCTCAAGGAATTGCATAAACTAATTTGAGAACTGAAAAGTTTTTAATAGAAGAATTCATAGAGCAAATGGAATAATGCAAATTCAATAACATGCATCTTTGACCCTGCTGTATTTTTTCTCTCTATTTGCAAGCTACTTTGTTCTTATAGAAAAGCAGAATATAAAACAAACTATTTGCTATTTGTAGCTTTTAAAAAATGTTACACTAGATTTCTTGTTCTGACAGTTATCCACACATTCAGTTCTGTGATTCACTGAATGACTCGCATGCATGTAAACATCACTCCTATTCACTATTATGCAAAAGTCTGTATGTTTTCTATTCTACACAAATATTTTAAGTGGATTTAAAAATATTAAAACTATATTATCAAACTGGAGATTAGATAAATAAGATATCACACACTATTAATAAAGTCCTTTTTCTCTATTGCATATTTGTAATTGCTAACATCTATAATCCTGAATCATGAGCAATAATGTAGTCTTGATAGGAATTCAGTCACACTAGGGATGTCTGAGGAATATGTTTGGGGATGCGAATCCATTGGATTCCTTGATCTTGGCTCCCAAGACTCTGATCCACCTTGGAGCAGCCCTGAACATGAGTTCCTAGCAAGCCTGCCCAGTGTTCACAGGGAAGGAATCGAAGTCCATGCATTGTGCAGGCAGTGCCCCTGTCCTGCATCATGCGCAGCATCTGTTTTGGTGGCTCCACACACGACCCAAAAGAAGGCTGGTAGCATGGGGCTCTTCATGAAAGGAGCCCCATTCAATCACTTGTAGCACCCTTCTCCTGCACTCCTGCACTAAGGGCAGCCTCCATTTGGGTGGCTGCACCTGACATGAAAGAAAGTTGCTGGTTGTGCAGCCAGGCCTTTGTGAGCATTTATGGACTTTGTCTTGGCTTAACTTACTTTGGAAGACCCGGTTGAGCACAAGAGGAATCCTGGGAATATTTGGAGGGACAGATTCCACTAAGGTTCATCCCAACCATACATCCTGATGATCCTGTAACTGATCTGACCGTGACAGATCCTTCAGTGTGCATTTCTTTGCAGAAGTGATGCAACAAGAAAGAGTCGAGCTTCTAAAGTATGAATGCAGGGCAGCCATTTTGCATATAGTCTCTGTGTTGGATGGTGGCAGCTACCATACTGTTAGGAAGCGGCACCAGCCTTCAGCTTGGCTCTTGGCAGTGAAGCTTTTCATGTGCCCACCTGCCACCTTTGCTCAATGGCAGCTGGGCAATCTTGGAATGCTCTGAGTGCTTAATTCATTGCAGCAAAAAACATCTTCAAAAATAAGTATATAGAAACTAGGTGCTGATGAAGGTGCCATCTGTTCTTGAAAACAACAATGCTTGATGAAAATTGTCATGAGTTTTCAATTAGTGATTGTGTTTTCCATGTATATGACCTAAGTAATGTTAAAGCGGAAGAAAGGGTTGAATTCTCTTCTGGACTGAACTCAACATGTTGGAGCTGTAGCACTTGATAATGACAGAATCAGTTAAAAAAATTGTGAAGGTAGCTTGGCTGCTTTCCAAAGGTGCCTTTGTTGGATGCCCCAGTTGGTGAAGAGCTGCTGTGGTGTGCTGTTGATGCACTAGATACTGCCATTGGTCCCATGGGTCCCATGACTTCCAAGAGCCACAAAAGGGCTGGTCCAAAGGTCTTTGAGATCTGTTCTAAAATCTCTGTGCATGGACCTATGATGACAGGCATTGAGATAACAACTGTGTATGACCAGTATGAGTTCATCACCCTGAGTTGCCATTAATACCATCATCAGTGAAAAATGATTTAATGATCTAGCTGACATGAAGAAGAATTTGTACTGTATTTATGTTGCAATTTCTCAAACCAGATTGCTCAGCTGAGAAAGAAGCTTGCTGATGCAGATGCAATGAATTGCACTGGTAACACTCAAGTATTTGGCCCCTTAGTCAAGCTACTCCATGGGTGAATAGTTCAAATACCATGGTAAATATATTTTGATTATCTGTGATAACTTATGCAAGCAGGCTGTTGCCTAGCTTGCTACGTTTCTGCTGCACTGCCTGTCTTCTTCTGGAAAGAGCAGTCAAAAGGAAATATTTCTTTGGAGGTGGTTCTCGGACTGCCATTCCTATCACTTAGACTCAAACTAGAGATTTCAGACTATGCTCTACTAGTCTAGTTAAGTATAGTAGTCTAATTTAACTGTGATGAGCAGATACTCTTGGGAATTGAATCGCTGTATAAAGGTATCTGTTTAGCCATCAGTGTTAAATTTGTGTCCTGTATAGGTTCTGCTGCCCAGACAGCAATGAAATGGATGACTGGAAATGGTAACTGGGTCAGTACCATGAAGTAGAACCTCCCCCCCCCCCTATTTTTCATTAACCATGAGTAAATTTAGAATTCAGATGTAAAACAATACATATGCAGATATAGATGTATGTACTTTACAGATATTCACACACAAAACTAATTAGTGTCCATATGCAGTATACAGACGCACACTGGGGGGTGGAATATATAAGCTATATGTCATCAACACGAGGCAAATCCAGAACAAGTTGTGAG